TAGGTGACTGTGTAGTGGAAGTTTGACTCGAGGAAATCGAGCCAACGAATCTGTCGTGGGTTGAGGTGGGGCTGTGCGCGGAGGTACTGTAGTGATCGGTGGTCTGTCCGTACTGTCACGTCTGCGCCGGTCAAGTAGCAGCGCCACACTTTGAACGCATGCACGATCGCGAGCATTTCGCGGTCGTGTATCGGGTAATTTCGCTCGGGCGGATGCAGTTTTCGTGACTCGTATGCGATGGGCTGTAGGCCGTTGCCGAAGTCCTGTAGCAGTACGGCTCCAATGGCGATGTCGCTCGCGTCTGTAACAACCTCGAAGGGGCGGTGTGGGTCGGCGATGCGCAGGACGGGCGGTGAACAGAGAACATTTTTTAGGGCAGAGAAGGCAGCATGCTCTTTCTCCCCCCACGTAAAAACGACCCCTTTTCGCAGTAAATCAGTCAGCGGGGCTGTCAATTGTGCCATGTCGGGGACGAACCGACGCACATAATTAATGAACCCTAAAAAACTCTGCAGCTCCGTGATGTTTGTCGGGGGACGCCACGCTTTTACCGTATCCAGCTTCTTTGGGTCGATTTCAACTCCAGCCTCCGAAATAACGTGCCCCAGAAATTCTAACCTATCCTGAAAGAACTCGCACTTGGAACCCTTGGTCAGTAGGCGATGTTCGTCTAAAACCTTAAAAACCGCTTCCAGATCCGCTAAGTGCTGCTGCTTGTCCCGACTGTAAACTAGGATGTCATCGAGGTAAACTATGACGCATTTATCTAAGAGCGGCCTAAATGACTCGTTCATGGTCATCTGAAAAGTCGCCGGTGCGTTGGTTAGCCCGAAGGGCATCACAGTGTATTCGAACGACCCGTACCTAGTCCTAAATGCTGTCTTGGCGCAGTCCGATGGTTCGACCCGAATCTGATGGTAACCCCCCCGTAAGTCTATTTTCGAAAACACTCGTGCTGTTCGCAGTTGGTCGATCAGTTCGTCGGCGCGGGGAATGGGGTATCGCGACTTGACTGTTACCCTGTTCAGTGCTCTGTAGTCGATACACATGCGAAAGCCCCCGTCTTTTTTCGGCGTGAACAGTATCGGTGCGGCGAATGGTGACGAGCTTGGCCGGATGAACTTTTTCTCTAACAGGTAATCTAACTGCTTCCTTAGTTCGTCGAGCTCGGGCTGTGTCAGTCTGAACTGGCGCTGTACGGTTGGCTGTGCCCCTGGTTCTAATTCGATTCGGTGGTCATGTGCTCGCTGAGGTGGCAACCCTTCCGGTAAGTCGTCGGGAAAAATCCCGGGGTACTGTTTCAACAGTTCCTGTAATTCGGGCGGTACAGCTCCCAGCAGTTTCTTGAAATCGCTCGGCTGCTCTGCTTCCTCTACTACTGCAATATCTACTGCGTACACGTCAGCTCCAGCAGCGACAGCCCATTTCATTGTGATGGCGTTGACGTGCACCGTTGAAGACTCGGGCGACTGCCAGCGAGGTAGTTGGACCCAGTTACCACCACTTCGCACGGTGCAGCTACCCGTCGTCCAGTCAATTCGTGGGTTATACCGTCGCAGCCAATCGCGCCCCAGTAAAATGTCGTGCCCATCCAGTGTTGTCGCGAGCATTTCCTGTGTAAACCCAAAATTTCCCCCGCAGCGGACTTTGACTCTCTCCACCTTTTCCCGTATGGCCAGCGGCGTGCCGTCGACTAAGCGTGCGTCTATCTCCGGTAAGCAACGGCTAAGTGTCAGTTGCAGTTTTCGTGCGGTTGCGGTATTAACTAAGCTGTGGCTCGCTCCTCCGTCAATAAAAATCTTCACTGCTGCTCCCTGTATTTTCCCGTGGATCAGTACTGGGCAATCCGTCGCTGTACCCTCCTTATTCATCCGAGCCCGATCGATGGCGTGAATCGGTACTGTGACTCGGTGAGGGTCGGTGTGGTTGGGCGAGCAGGCAGTCTCGTCAGTAGTTGGCCCAACTTCTACTGACTGCTGGCGTTTCCCTGCCTCTGAGACTCCCTCCCCTGCTCTGCTCCGCGGCGCCTTAGCTCCTCTGGGCATTCGCTCTTGCGATGGCCCGGCCTGTTGCAAGCAAAGCAGCGCCCCTTAAATGGCGTGGCAGCTGCATTTGTCGCAACGGCGTTCACAGTGGCGTGCTCGATCGGTCCCCGAGGACGATGTCCGTGGTAGAACCCCGGTCTCGGTCGACGTAGGATGTCGATTTTCTCGGCGAGCGCGAGAATCTCGTTGAAATTCGAGAGCCCGCGTAGCATGATTTCGTGCGAGATGTCTGGTTTTAGCCCTCCGACGTAACGGTCCACCCGCTCCGCTTCGTGCATATAGCCGACTTGCTCGCAAAGTGCGAGAAAACCGCTCGTGTAATCTTGAACCGATCCGAGCTGCCGCCAAGTGCGCAATCTCTGACGCGCCGAAATAGAAGCCGCGATCGGCTCGAAGCGCGCCCGAAGCCCTGCGCACCACGCATCCCACGTGCTGTATCGGGCTGTTTCGCAGAACGAACTCCAGGTGACAGCTGGACCCGTGGGCCCTTCCTCTTGCGACGGTGGCTCGTAGGCGCGTGGCGACGTCACGATGACTCGCCACCAGTCCATGGCGGGGCCCCTTAGCAGCGAAACGGCATACCGAATCTTCGCTGCGTCCGACTCGACGTAATTTGCGTCGAAGAAGACGTTCATCGTGAAGACCCACGATTGAACTGTCGGACCTCCACGCTGACTCGGGTCAAAGCAGGGCGGGCGTTGCGGCTTGAGTGGCATTGGTGCCATAATGGCTTGTTCGCCACTTGTCGCCGCGAACTCCACGTGCCGACGGGCTTCGCGGGGCTCCCGCGGGCTTGGTGCGGCCCTGTTTCCTCCCATGCCAGGCATCGGCTGGGTCGTGCCATCAATGGCTGCGCCTGAGCGCTGTCCCATGCTGTTGTTGTGTGTGGGTGTGCCGGACGAAATGACGATCGGCTCGTCCGATTGTGCAGATGCGTTTGTCGGTGCGTGTGGTGGTGCTGGAATGTTCATCGTTGATTGCTGACGCGCGGAGTCACGTTCCGCTGTGAGCGTCGCAATTTCGAGCGCCGAATCTTCGAGTTGGCGCACCAGGCGGTCGAGCTGCTCCTGCGTCAATGTGGCGAGCGTGATTTCGGCCATGGCGGGGGTGTCGGGCGAGCTCAGCGGGAGCCTCAGTCGTGGCCGTGCGTGCTTACGAGAGAGCACTACGAGCGGCGGTGCTGTATCGCTGAGAGACGTCTACCCCCCCCCAAAAAATTGAGATAGTGGGGAAGCGAAGGTGTGGGTGCGGTCCGAGAAGAGATCGTAGGCTCTGAATACCAAGTGTTACGGGTGCAATTGAGTGAACGAACGAGAATTGCACTATCGAAGCAAGAGTACAATGAGCGAAGGCATGAGCGAAGAATATATAGCGAAACTACAGTGGTAACGGTAATGGACTGTGGTTGTCGCGCGACGGGCCTGGAACTGAGGTTAGGGAAAGTGTCGAAGCGGAGGCCCGGAGCGCGGGTTACCCGCCGAGCCGTGAGGTCAGGGTGCGACGTGCGAAAAATGGCGGGCGGATTGTCGATGCGAGGATTGCGAGTGGAAACAGTGCTGACTGTAGTGCTACAGTGATGTACGCGTTGAGCAGGGATGCAAAGTAACACACCCACATCTTGCTACGAACACTCCTTTCCGCTACTAGAGGTGTCACGACATGGGGTAACTCGATTCTGTATAAGGTTGTGTAACAATTTTGTACAGTCAGAAACACAATAGCTCATACTTTTTACTTGTATTCTGTAATATAGAATTTGTGACAATGAAACATCAACCGTTATAAGAGCATCGATTCATTATAGGCAGCATTCTGTATTGTCACGTTTGTCTACCAGCAGCATGGCATTCTATTGCATGTGCTTTTTAGGTTGTGAATCAGTTTTATACGATCAAAATTACCCAACAGTCACACAGAGCGCAAATCAAACACAAAATATCAGAGGTGCATCTCAGCCCTACAGGATAAAGCCTACGAATACTCCCCATCCTTGTGCCTTGCCTGCATGGGCAACCTATCGGCTTCCAAAAACTTGGTACATGCTCTTCCCTATATACCGTAGTGCAGGGGGAGGCGGGGAGCCTCAAGCAGCAGAGGAGCTAGAATGTGCCCATCACTGCCTGCCTTCCCCTCTGATTCCACATCCCCCAGCACTTCCTCCCTCTCTGCTCCCACATCTCCCTCGTTGGTATCCCCCCGTCTCATTTCCCCCATCGCTGCCGGCCCCACTGCTCCCTCCTCCCCCTGTCATGCCTCCCCTACTGCTCCCTCCTCCCCCCGTTGACGCCTCCACTTTAGCTATCAGATCCTCCCGATGCTGCCTCCCCAGCTACTGCCCCTTTCCCCCCGATGCTGCCTCCCCAGCTACTGCCCCTTTCCCCCCAATGCTGCCTTCCCCGATGCTCCCCCATTCCCCAGTTCGCTGCCTCCAACGATGCTCCCCCATTCCCCCCGTCGCTGCCTCCCCCGATGCTTTGCCCGCGTTGATGCCTCATTCCCCTCATCACAGTTGATTGATTGAATAGAACCTGTCAACGAGGTTCAGATACAAGTCATCCAGCACATGATGATGAGCGAAAGGGTGGTTTTGGGGGGGGAGGTGGAGGGGAAAGCAGAGGGAGGGGCGGGAGCGAAAAGGGAAGGAAAGGAAGGGAGGAGCGGAAGAAGGAGGGGGGGACAACAATGGCTGCTGCTGCCAGTGATGGTGCTGCTGCCAGTGGTGCTGCTGCTGCTGCCAGTGATGGTGCTGCTGCCTGTGGTGGTGCTGCTGCTGCCAGTGATGGTGCTGCTGCCAGTGGTGCTGCTGCTGCTGCCAGTGATGCTGCTGCTGCCAGTGGTGCTGCTGCTGCTGCCAGTGATGCTGCTGCTGCCAGTGGTGGTGCTGCTGCTGCCAGTGATGCTGCTGCTGCCAGTGGTTCTGCTGCTGCTGCCAGTGATGCAGCTGCTGCTGCTGCTTCATCGCATTGCACCGTTCACCTGCACGTCCATGAGCACTTTGTCGAACGAGTGTGCCTGCAGGCCGCGAATGGCATCCTGGCTGTTGGCAGCGCTGGTGCATTCATACCCCATGCGCGCTAGCATCATGCATCATGCCACACACCTCACCTGTGCCCCACCACATCACGCCAGGCCATGCCATCACATGATGTTCCGTGTCCCAGCACGCCACCCATGCCATCCCAACCCATGGCACATACGTGAGCAGTATCCGGAGGAGGCAAGGTTGGCAGGTGGTTGAGGAGGCGAGGAGGTGGTTGAGGGCGATCTGGCACACCTACACTCCAGGTAGGTGGGGCAGCTGGGAGGGTGAGAGGATGCGGGGTGGAGAGGGAGAGGGGAAGAGGGGGAGAGGGGAAAAATAGAACGGAGAGCGATAACAAGATGGGAATGGGAGGGTGGCAGCACGACGAGGGATCAGAGGGAGCTACCGAGGATTGCGAGTCAAAAGTTGATAAGGCCTCCATTTCTTGCCGCAGCACCTGGTTGTTGCGCTGCAGCTGCTCCGTGCGCTCCACAATGCGCTCCTCCAGCGCTGCGTTGAGCGCGCGGATCTCGCCCTCCTTGCGCTTGATGTCGCTGATGTGCCTACACGCTGATCACCCCCACCAGCTGCCCCGACGGGTTCAGAATGAGCGTGTGTGTCACCTGCGAGGTGGCGCGCGCAGGGAGCAGACGGTGAGATGCAGCGGAGAGGCGATTGTGTGGCGGCGGGGGGGGGGGGGGGGGGGGAAGACGGGTGGGTGCGGAGAGACATGGGTATGGAGGGAATGTGGTATTAGAGGTAGCGCGCAGCAAGGCTTGGAAGAATAGCGCGCAACATGGTGGTGAAGGGTAACTCGCACCATGGCGGGGAAAGGCGAGCCGTCTCTGCGTCTGACAAGGAACTCGCCAGTCCACACATCCCCTTGCTGAGCGCGCCGAAACTGATCATGCGGACGTACACAAAGGCAGTAAATCACCTGGCAAACGATTAGTAAATCTCGCGGATGTCAGACAATTCAAAATTTTATTTAATTGGACGGAGAGTATAAAGAGTCCAAATCCGGTCGATGAATAGGGCGGAAAAGAGGAGGACTGGGTGCGAAAAGAAGGAGCGTGTGTGAGGAGAAGGAGCGAGGAGGAGCAAGAAGAGATGAGGCGAGCGCCAATAAAAGCGTCTGGGGACGACCAGTCGAGTTCGATGACGGAGACGAGAGGGCGGGTAGACGAGAAGGGGAGGGCGCACGCGCATGACGCGGAAAATCTTGCGCGACCAGGCGATGGCGCTGCGCGGTACGAACGGCGGCTGGCAGAACCAGGCGGCTAAGCGAACGGCAAGCGAGGCTAAAGCTGGCGGACAAGGGAGAACATAAAGAGAGAAAGATAGAGGGGAAAAAAAAAAGGTTAAACGGCGCTCTCGCTTATGAAATGGGTGGGTCTTCCTTTCCTCGAACTACATAGAAGCAGGAGAATAAAATAGGCTCAAGAATCGCTGGTGGATTTGCTCGGCTGAAATAGGTGCTCGAGGGGATGGGACTGCATTGTTCTGAATCCAGTTCGGAGTAAGCACAGACCCACGATCAGTGTACAGGGATATTCGTCATGTGCCAAAAGCTGATAACGTGCTTCGTTGTAACATTCGTTTTCGGCAGATTCTGATGGTTCTCCAAGGCTGGACAAATTCGCTGTGTAACCAGTTGCATCTGACACAGAGGGTGGTGTTATTGACGTAGCAGCACGCGACGAAGGTCAAGTGGTCGGTGAAAGAATACGAGCCTGCATTTTCGTTATGACACAATTTCCCTGACCTGCCGCCAGGCTTGGCATGGCAGGTTCGGTTTCGTAACGCAACAGTGCGTTTTGGCGCAATTGACTTGTGCCGAGACTATAGATGCGTTCATGCAAATGAACGACAACAATAGCATTAACGGGTCTGACTTTAACAAGCCCCTCGCATCCCCCGAACCAAAAACCCAAACCAACCTCCGTCGGCCGGGTATTTTTCGTTCGTTTGAATACGGCTCAATGAGATGTCACACGTTCTACATTGGTCCAATTAATGTCCAGAAAGGTCAGGATGGGTATTGAGCTAAAATGAAATGAAAATGACGCGCCCAAACATTGATCCCTGCAAGATTGGACATTGTTCAAAGATAGCTCACGTATGATACTTCATACTAGGCCACCTTTGTGGGTATGTTGTTGGGGCCAGGAATTTTGTGACGATCGTGACCGTCCGTCAAAGACGCATTTTCGATACGTAAGATCTCGCTGTCTCAATCTCGATTATTGATGGGTAATCCCCGCAACTTGCCGTCCCAACCAATCCTCTCCGTCAGAAGATCATCACCGCGAGAACTCAGTGTTGATCATCAACTCCAAAAATTTCCTGGGAGACGACACCATCAGAAGGCGTCAATCATCATGGTCAGAAAATCGTCACCACTCCCAGAAAAACACCGGCAAAGATCGTCACCGTGAGAAGTTGTCACAGCCAGAAGATGGTCACCGGCAGAAGACTGTCAGCAACAGAAGATCGTCAGCAGAACTCCCGAAGGTCCCACCTGTCACCATCAGAACCATCAGAAGACGCCAAGCGTCGCCGTAAATTACTCCTCATCACAATCCTCACCGTCAGAAATCGCCGTCTCGATCGTCGCCGTCAGCACTCCTCGTTCGATCTTCACCGTCAAAAATCGCCGTCTTCCGTCAGCACTACTCGTATCAATTTTCACCGTCAAAATTCGCCGATTGCCATCGCCAGCACTCCTGGTCTCGATAATCATAACCAGGAATCGCCGTCTCGATCACCTCCTCCAAGGAAACCGTCCCGAACATCGTCTTCATAAAACATAAATTCTGCTCCGAAAAGGCAGAAATCGTTAACGCTGTAGACGTTGAATTTAGACGGCGTTATCGTCGCAGCCTGAAACACGACGTGCACTTGAACGGCGATACGACGTCGCCAAGCCTTACGAACAGTATCCGACTAACGTCAGCGGTAGATTCTCAATGGTATTCACACAAAAAAGGCCGAATGCTACGGTCAACGATCACCATGGAGCATTGTAAAACGAGCTGCTCAGGATTGAACGAGGAGAGTCTGCTAGTGCTCTTCTGAATGTCTAGTAGCATAGCCGTGGATAGTAACAGATACGACTATAATTGCGCTTGGGAAACAATTATCGTAAATGGAAGTCGACAGCCATGGATTGCTGACGAAACGAGCTGAGGCTTGAAGAGTCCCGGCATCAGAGGCCATGAAACTCCGAACAGAGGTGCTCCGAATATGGCTAGAGGACACATTGAAATAAGAAGTGAACCACGACTAAGATATAGTCCTGATTAATGATTGGTAAGTATGGAAATTCAGGCGACAGCCATGGATTCCAGGGAACCGAACGAGCCTTATGTATAGGAGGAGTCAGCGCGAGTTGCGGTCATGATGGTGGGGAAGAAGGCGTTCAGGACAGCTCGAAATAGGATAATCACAAAGCGGTGGTGTAAGAGGGGTTCAGTGGAGCAATACCGGTTTCCCAGAACGATCCAGAGTGGTGCAGGGAGATTTACATGGAAGTGGGAGAGGTGCGACGAAAGTGGGGGACCATCTTTTCGAAGGCAGCCATTCCCCTTCCTCTACTGTACTCTGGTGCAGGCCGCCGCAGCGTCAGCGGATGCCCTCAGTTTCGTGAACCAAAACAATTGACCTTTCGCTTGCAGGAGGTTTGGTTCGCGAGAAGTGTGACCAGGTTTTGCAAACAAGTTACGGCATACTCGCGTCGCGGTACTCTCGCCGTTTGCGCGGGAAACAGTATGTCCCTGACAGACGCTTTTGTGATAACTTGCACACATCCCCCAGAGATGGAATGGAAACTTCCAGGGGTTATAATGTAGATAAAATGGCCGATGGGATGCTGTAGTTGCCTCACACCCAATATGATACCGTATTGTTTTTTCAGCAAATATTCGAATCACCAATATTTCTTATGGTTGTTAAGAAAGTCAACCTACCCTATCAGAGTACAACACCCAGGATACTTGACACCTTTATACATTGTCAAAGCAGCCATGGAGGGAGGAACCAACTCTTTCTAATTTCCCTTCTTCCACTTCCATCTTTCTTTCCAATCTCCTTGTCACTCTAGCTTAATTTTGCATTTTGTTTCGTTTTGCATTTCGTTTCGCTTTGCATTTCGTTTCGTTTTGCATTTCGTTTCTCTAATCTCCGTACTTTCTTATTTTTGTATTCATTCCAGGAACAAATAACACTCACGCGGTAGTAAAAGTCAATGGATCTCAAAGGCTAAACAACTCACCTCCTGCAAGCAATATGGACTGTCTATACACAGCAAGCCTGACACCTGTGCACACGACCATTCACACCGCTATACATAGGCCACAAACGCACACAACAATCAAATCAACGCAACACGCAGTGAAGCCCATTATCTACACGGATGCACAACGAAAGCCCTCCATTTCTAGCGGCCAGGACACACTCCAAGCCACCTGCAATCTATACAAGACTCACCAGCCTTTAATGGCCTCACCTCCTCTACCCCCTCACCTCCTTCCCTTAGCCTCTCCGCTCCACAGCCCCTCCGCCTGGGCCCCTCCATCAGGCGTGCCGGTCGAGCTGTCACTCAGCAGTGAGCACACTGCTGTCGCGCTGCAGCTCCGCTCCTTAACCACACCCCACCCCCCGCACCACCCATCTATACAAGCCCCACCGCCCTTTAGGCCCTGCAGCCCGTCATGTCTGGGCCCCATCAGGCATGGCGGTCGAGCTGTCTCTCGGCAGTAAGAACACAGCTGTCGCGCTGCAGCTCTGCGCCATACACCTCCTCCTCCACCACCACCGCCCGCCCTCCCCCCACCCCTCCCCCCGGCAGCGCCGCCTCCTGCTGCCCCGCACCCAGGGGGCCAGAGAGCACTCCTGGAGCACCGACAGCAGCAGCAGAGGCAGAGGCAGAAGCGGAAGCAGAGGCGGAGGTGGGGAGCGGCTGCAGAGTGGGGAGAGCGCAGGCGAGGTCAGGAGCAACGCCGACCTGGTCAATGGCGTGCATGGCGGGCGATAGGTACTTGGCCACTGTCACAAACAGCGCCGACCCGTCCGTGAGCTCAAACACCGTCTGAATGCGCCCCTTGCCGTACGTCGTATCCCCCACCAGCGTCGCCCGCCCGTTGTCATGCAGCGCGCCCGCGACAATCTCACTCGCGCTCGCACTCCCGTGATTCACCAGCACAGCCAGCGGCCGGTCCGTGAGCGCACGGGAGTTGCGCAGCGCACTTCCACGGCGCCGGTGCGGTCGACGGTGTTGACGAGCGTGGCACCCGAGCCGAGCCACATGCGCGCGACGTCGAGCCCGGCGTGCACGAGGCCGCCGGGGTTGTTGCGCAGGTCCAAGATGTAGTTGGCCACGCCCTCGCCCTCCAGCCGCTCTATCGCCCTCGCCATGTCCTCCGCCGCGTTCTGCCAGACGTGAGGCAGGGGGAATGTGACATGGTGTGGGGTGAGATCACATGGGATGGGTTGGGATGGGATGGAACGGGATGCGATGGGATAGATTGGGCGAGGGCAGGCTAAGGGTGCGCACCTGGGAGAAGGAGGCGAGGCGAATGTAGCCGGTGGAGGTGGGAGCGCCCTGCTCCGTGTGGTGGGGCAGCGCCGTCGCGTACACTGGTGATAGCGCTATTGGCTCGCGCCTCAACAGGATGTCCGTTGTTCCCTCCGGCAAATCAGAGCCGTCCACGTCAGCTCTCTGCAGCACAAGGGCCGGATCAGCGCGTGAGGGCATGTGGGCGGGCAGATTGCAGTAAACATCACCAGAGACGTAATATAACAGGGATGGGGGGAGGCCTTACAGCGGGGCACACGGTGAGTGTGACTGCTGTGCCTGCCTTGCCTCGCAGCAGGTTCGCCGCCTCCTGCCCGCTCATGCCGCTCAACGGGGAATCTGCACCGCCCGGAGAGAGGGGAGGGGACAGATGTAGATAAGCAGGCCGTGTGTGGGTTCGTTGAAAGCCACAAGAAGGAGAACAGGGAGAGCGATGAGGGGGAATCCAAGGAAAGAAGAGCAGGCGGGAGTAGCAGCAGGGAGGGAAGACGAGCGGGGAGGTGGTGCAGGAGGGGCAACGTACGGTCAACCGCAACGACCTCGTCGCCCGTGTGGATGCCCGCACGATCCGCGGGGCCGCCCTCGATGGGCGAGAGCACTAGCTGCGCGCGGAGTCAAGGAAGGGGGAACAAGGGGGAGGGGGACGGAAAGAGGGAAGGGGTGAGTGGAGGGATGAGATGGGGAAGCGCGGAGAGGAAGTCGAGCACGTGGCGGGTGTGAGCGGTGTGCAAGAGGAGAGGGAACAGCGGAGAACGCGCAAGCGAGAGGAACGGCGCATGTGCGCGCAAGTCGGGAAGTCAGCGCGCGGAGGCCAGCGCGCGTGGGAAGGAGGGGGAGGAGCGCACCAGGCGGCCGTCAGTGGTGTCGGAGGCGAGCAACAGCCCCACTCCCTCGAGACCGCCGTCGCTGCTCACGCGGAAGCTGTCGTAGTCGCTCGGCGACACCAGGCGAGTGAACGGGTCGCCCAGCGTCGCCAGCATGTCGTGCACGAGGGCGTACGCGTCGTCCGCGCTGCCCGCCGAGACGCTGCCGCGAATGGCGGCGGCGAGGCGGCGGTCCCAGTCCTGGTGGTTGAAGGTGGGATCCACGAACGCCTCGCGCACGATCCCCCACGCCTCCACCATCGTCCGCTGCGCCGCCTCCACCTGCGCCACCGCGGGGGGGGGGGGGGCGGGGAAAGGGAGGGGGGTAGAGAAGGGATGGGGCGTGGGAAGAAGCGTGTGGGTCGACGTGGTGTGCTATCGCCGACGGGGAGAGCGCGGAAACGGAGAACGAAGCGTCGGCGAGTTTGAACGCCTAGCTCAACGCGTCAGCATGTGTGGAGCGCACCATGTTGTAGCGACGCGACGAGCGCATGAAGCCAGTCCGCCTACAACGCGAGCTCATGGTGATTTCACTTGGCTGGTCTCGGTTCACCGAGATCCAACTCGTCATCTCACAATCATTCATATCGTTCAAACCGTGTGATATAATCCCCGTGACACAAGGGCACGTACCCCAGTGATGTGCGGTCGGGGCACGATGAGAGTGAGCACGCCGTTCTCCTCCTCCACGCCCATCGCCGCGTCGCTCATCAGCACATCCGTCGTTTCGCCGCTTAGCAAGCTCTCCGCAACTGACGGGGCGGGAATCCCGACTAGAAGCACCGCCGCCGCCGCCGCTCCGACGACGGCTCCACTCGCAGCCTTCCGCAGCCATTCCGCAGCTCGAGCGAGCTTGTCGTGGCTCGAGACATGTGATGGCAGATCCGCTGCCGCCGACGGCTGAGGAGTTGTTTGACGTGGTGGTGACTGCGCCGCTGCTGACGGGCCGGCAGCTGACGGGCCATGCGAGGCTAGGACGACTCTTTGCTGACGGGAGGCTCGTGACTGGACGCGAGGAGCGACGGCAGCGGAACTCTGCTTGGATTCTAAATGGACGAATGCGGGAGAGGGAGGGGACGAGCTGCGAAGATTGTGTGCTGGTCGACTCGCTGGTGGGAAGGAGGTTGGGTGGATGGAGGAGTGCAGTGCTCTGACCGCCATCGGTGAGATTTGCGTGATAACAACGATTCGCAGAGACGATGGTGGAGGCGGAGGAATGGTTTTATATGGGAACGGAGTCTCGGCACTGAACTCGAAAAATGCTCAACTGAAGTGCTTTGAAGGGGATGGAGAGACATTGGTGGTGGGTGGTGTTGAACAGAGACGAGCCGCGATGTTGAAGTCACAATGCGGGGAAAGGGCGGAGGCCTGACGGGTGGGGGGAGTGAATCGTGGAGAGGGAGTGGAGAACGGGGAAGCGCAGATGCATAGACGCATGCTGTGATTGGACAACGGGTCTAGACACCGACACATGTGTTCGCGACAACAGTCAGTGATCAGCGCGTGCGGGGAAGAGGGGCAAGGTAGGTTTCTGGAAACTGGGGGGAACGAAGCTGACTGGAGGTTGAAGGCCTGGCGCGCGTGCGATCGAGGTGGCAACAGAACACCCCGGGCAAGTACCACGCCTCGTTCTCCGCCCAGCATCGGCCACGTCACTGCCAGACGTCGCTCATTGAGCATTCCGTGTAAAGTGAAAGTGAGGGAGTCAACCCCATTCGAGCTGTCGCAACAACACCAATAAAGGGCGAGAAAACAAAAGGTCTCAACCAATAATCGAATCTCATATCCGCTAATTGGTTCAAAATTTCACGTGCCGCATAATATCGCAGACCGGTGGTTCCCTCGGTATACTGTATGATCCGAAACAAGCAACGAGCTTATGACATGGAATGGTTTTACGCGTACATAGAAGCTCGAGTACGTAGTAAAGGAACCATAGATTTTGCAGTTCTCAACCAGAACTCTCCCAGATCGTCATATACCGTGAATGAACATGTACATAATGCATAGCAAATACATCAATCATACACTGTCTAACTCATTAGAAGCGGCATACAATCACCAGCTTTCCATTGCTTTCTCAAAGCTGGCTGAGGACGAAAATGCGAGAATAGGGGTGCTTCTTTCTGTTCCGGGGTGTCTGTCATGCCTCATAACGTGTGAGGGACCAAAAGAATGGCAAATCACATTACTGTGGCATAACAATGGAATTACAGCATGCCAAGGCCAGTTTTTTAGTGTGCTGAAGCCTCGCAGTGCTTGTTGTAAGCGTCATCATCAAGCAAGTCGTTCAGCTCTGCGGGGTTGGCAATCTTCACCTTCATGATCCACCCATCAGCAAAGGGAGAGGTATTCACCTGACGTAATAAGGGACGGGAAGTCAGCACAATGTCACACGGGACGGGAAGAACGGGAGACTGGGAAAGCAGTGTAATCGTCCTGTTGTTCCGCAATCTGCTTTTTTATTTGTTTGCGGAAGACAGATGCGTGAGACTCACCAGGGCAGGGTTGCTGCCGAGCTCCTCGTTCGTCTCAACAACCTCTCCAGTGACGGGCGAGTACACGTCACTGGCGGCCTTCACGCTCTCCACCACGCCGAACGTTTGTCCCTTGCTGACCTGCGTGCCGGCCTTTGGCATGTCCACGAACACGAGCTCTCCCAACTCATTCTGCCAGGCGGAAAATCGTCTCAGTCTAGGCCGTTGGGAGTCAAATTTAAACACGGAAGCGAAACGCCACATTACTACTCACTTGGGCGAAATCTGAGATGCCGACTGTTCCGACCTCGCCGTTCACTTCGACCCATTCATGTGATTTCAAATACTTCCGGTTCTCTGCAGCTGCAGCACGGAATGAGATTTTATTGTTTCAGATGCTGGACTTTCATGATTATATTATGCTGTTAATAAAGAAAATGCTAACTCACCAGAAGCGAATGATCGCCAGAAGGGAGCAATGAGGCTGTCTGTCGCTGGAAGGCAACGAACCCTCAGGGATGTGGCGGCCTGCGACGCGAACACTCTGCGCAATACAAACCATCGCTATCAAAACGCTGAATCAACATAAATTGCACGAGAATTCAGGCTAACACTAACCTGAGAGCCATGGCGGCGATGTGTTCTCGTCTGGTCGTCACTAAACTGATGCACTGCCGAAATTGCTCTGCGGACAAGTCAGCTGGTTTGAACTGGGAAAGCCAAACAAACCAGATGAAGGTGAGGAGAAGTGGTTCAAAAAGGCTCACAGCGCCACGTCAGATTCGCTCCCCTATCTGTCCGCAACAGTGACGACTCCGTGGAATAGATCCGCTTTTCTGGCCTGGCGGGTGCATCTTCAGCCCGCACGTCGGGTGAAGTGTGCTGTGTGGCTGGGAGTTGAGTTGACCCAAACTAGCTAGGCTATCCCCACGAGGTTGTGATGATATAGACCGCCAAAAGAAATGTAGTGAATAGTCAATGTATAAAATATAACAGCGCCCCTACAACGAATCTGATTAGCTAAACTATCATATTCAAAAAAGACTCTTTTCGTGTTTTCCTTTCTGAGTTCAGCTCTCTTATACTGCCATAACCGAAAGCATGAAATATATAATAAAGAAACAAGCAGATAGAATTAAATGGTTCACAATATGCAAGCAAAAGTCTAAAGTTGGCATCACCAGATAGCATGGGCCTCCACAACACTTGAAGGAACTCCAACATCACATAGCCACCATTAGTGGTGTGTGGCTATACGGGATGCCCTTCAAGCGAAGGCCAACCCCTTGGAAGATAATAGAGGGGCCTTGTAGCCGAGGTGCATGATATCGGGTGAGGCCTGTCGAGCAGCAAACAAAACACACGAAAAACAAGAGAAAGACAAAAGAGAAGAAACTCCAACACTTCATGCACTGCAGACTGAAGCCTGATGATCATGACCTTAAAACCAAAGCTCCAGCAGTTTCAGCAGCAGCCGACACACGAGATTCACACGACCCATGAGCGCAAGAGCAGGGAGCCAAGAGCAGAGCGTGCTACAGCTCCCACAGCTGCTGCTGCCACATGTGGAACTGCTCTGCTGTGGCTGACACTGCCCGGTCCATGCCCCCTCCCTGCCCGTGATGCTCACTCGCCTCCACTGCAGCCGCTGCCGCAGCAGCCATGGCCGCATGCACACTCCTCTCCTCCCCTTCCTCTCCCCCCTCTCCCTGCCCGTACTCCAGTGCAGTTACGCCTTCCCCAGCTGCAGCCTCCCCTCTCTGCCCCTCCCCCCCCTCCCCCTCGTCGCCTGCCAGCAGCAGCAGCGGCTCGAAGTCGAAGGCGCTGCTGTATGGGCTGGGGGACGCCGGGGGCGCAGTGCAGGGGGGCTGGGGGGGCGCAGGGGGCGGAGAGCAGGGGGGCTGGGGGGACGCAGGGGGTACAACCAAGGGAGGCTGGGGAGGGGGAGGTGAGGCTGACAGCAGGGAAGCAGCAGCAGGCATGTTGTGGGGAGGGGGAGAAGGATGGACGTGTGGAGCAGGCCAGCAGGAACGGAGCCCTGGAGTGGTGGCGGGGGAGATGTGGGCCATGCGGAAGCAGGCGGAGGCACCTGCGTGTTCCCAACAACCACGTCACTCGCAGCTATGTTGCTGGCAGCAGCACTGGGAGGCAGGAACTGGAATGGCGGTTCATGCATCTGTTGCTGCTGTTGCCGCTGTTGCTCCGCATGTTCCTCATGCCCCCCCTGCCCGCCAGCAGCAAGCGTGCGGTGTGACTGTAACAGGGGTGACTGCAGGATGCGCATCAGCTGCTCCCGCGCTGCTGCTGCGCCAAGAAGGCTGCTGTTGTTTTCGGGGCCCTGAAAGTTGCTTCCTGGCACCTGAACATTGTCCCCTGCTGCATGGATGCTGCTGCCTGGCGCCTGACCGTCGTGCCCAAGCACATGGGCAGTGCTGCTGTTGTTTGGCGCGAGGGCAGGCGGCGGCAGGGAGAGCGCGGAGCCGAGGGCAGCGAGGGAGGAGAGCAGCTGCGCCAGCGCGTGCACTGCGGCCGTGGGGGCACGCGCACTGGGGGACGCGCTCGCAGGCACACCCACTGCAACGGCCACACTCGCTGCAGCAGCAGGCCCACCCGGTGTAGGCGCAGCAGCAGCACTGTGAGGGCCAGGTGTGGCGGTAGTGGCAGTAGTGTTGGCCGCGGAAGTGGAGGGAAGCGGAGGTGATGGGCGCGGCGCAGGAGGGGCGGCAGGAGGGTCGTCCGTGGAGCCACCGCTGCTGCTCACGTGCACGCTGCGCGGGCGAGCGGTGCAAGCTGCGAGGGTTATGCGCGATCCGCGCGTTGCCGCGTCACCATCAGCTCGATCCTCAATCTCCGCCGTCTCTGCTGGTGGCGAGTCGGGGAGAACGATTACGTCAGGAGAGGCCTTTTGCGACGAAATTTCCACCATGGGGGGAAAGCGAGGAGCGGAGAACGGCCGTGCGCTGGGCGGGGGAAAGCTTGTGGGGGACACATTCGCAGCGGAAACGCGAAACGCGGCGGAGGGGGCGGGACGGGTGGCGGAAGCGAGGGAGAGCGGCGACACGTGGCTGGAGATCTCGTTGGTGGGGACGGAGCGCGCGCAGAACACGCTACCCGCGCCGCAGCTGCTTGCTGCCGGTACGGCCGTCGGATTGCTGTCCGACTCCTCCTCTGGCGACGAATCGGACGATAGAGCTTCCGCACGGAGGGACCTTTGCTCTGCGTTCCCTTCCATTCCTCCGCCACCTTCCGCGCGCGCCGCGTCCTCCGCGACCTCCTGACACACGCGGACGAGCGACTCGGCGATGGCGGGTGGCAACGGCACGTCCTGGCGGCTGTCGGGGAAGTTGAGACTCCCCGCCGCGTCGCCTCGCAGCATCCGCGCCGCCATGTCGTACACGCGCGCCGCCTCTTCCGCGCTCGAGTATGAACCAAGCCAGATGCGCGATCGGCGCCGTGGTTCGCGGATCTCCGACACCCACCGCCCCCACTTGCGCTGCCGCACGCCCTTGTAACGGTGGGTGCGCGCCGCGAGCTCCTGAAAGCTCGGCGGAGGGCAGCGGTGGGGGGAGGCGGCGGCGGAAACAGTCGCAGCGGGGGCGCAAGGCGGAACAGGGGCGGGGGATGCGGTGGACGCGGGGAGCGGTGACTCGTGCGGTGGCGGAGGGAACGGGCGGATGAGCGACTGGGGCACGGCGGCGGACCAACCAGGAACTGACACGTCAATGGCGGCAGCATCTGGCCCGGATATCACCTCCCCCACAAGAGCCTTTCCGCCAGGCACGTCGACGCTGACGATGCGCGCCGGTTCGATCTTGATTTGCTTCATGGGCGGCAGAATCACCACGCGAGGCGCGCTGCTCCCCCGCATTCGGCGCTTGCCGATCATCTGATGTCGGGGCGCCTCGACCCCGATCATCTGCGCACCTGAGGGGAGCGGCCCGGATTCGGGACGCGCTTGATGAGGCCAGGCTACTGATAAGGTGTCGTGAAATACGGAAGGCGTCTCGAGCATTCGGGGGGATTGAGATGAATCCAGCAAGAGTGGCGCGACGGGCGAATCGGCAGGGTGGGCGACATGAGAACGACAATGGACGTGCGACGAAGGCGACGAATCAGAATGCGGCAGCGATTGCCCTGGAGACTGCGACGAACGGGCGTAATGAGACGAGGCCGGGTCGCCGTAGTGTGCGGCACGGTGGTGATGGGGGGACATGTGAGGCACGCAAAGAGCGGATTCCGTCATCCATGCACTAGCGACGATAAACACAAACGCGAATTCCAACGACCAAAGCCCTAAACTCGTGAATACTGCGTATGGGTGGCAGGGCCACAGTGCTGCACCTAACCTGCAGTGGAGTGGTGTGGCTGGACCAAGGGAACACGGGACAAGCAGAGAAGTGGGACGGTGGCGAGGCGATGGTAGCAAATAGCGTTGCCTGGAGTCACGAAAGGTCTGGGCCGTTCAAGCGTGACGCGAGGTACGGGAGAAAATGGTGGAAGTGAGGGCATCAGATTTCTCAAGGACACTGGCGAAAATTTAGCACCCTTCTTAGTGTGGCGAAGGAATGGCGAGATTTTCGTCAACTGTCCTTTCTGGAAAAGGCAGTTACCCAGCAGTTTTGCGAAACACTTCGCCGAGTTGTTGTAGGATGATCTCACTGGGACTGTGGAGGCTGTAGGCGGAAACTGCATGGAAGGAGGGTTCAGTGCGTCACATGTTCAGAAGAATTCGGTGCCTTGCTGCCGAGTCGCCTTTGGTCTCACATGGTTTGGTGGTTTTTTTGTATGGGGACAAACAGAATGCTTTTCACCAATCAGGTGCTTCTTCGGTGCTGCACTGTTGTACAGCTGGAGCGGACATGTGTTGCTGACGCGCTGTCTTGACGGAAGCGGTCTTCTAAAAAAAACGGAACTGTAGGGCCACCGCTGGAGATCTGGCGTGTGTCGGAAAAGATCTTGCAGCGAAGTGATGGCCTGGATTTAATCGCATTCGTTTTCGCTAACCGAAGCTCTCTTCGCCATCTCGGTAGCGGCGCCACCACCGCTCCCTAGAATGGGTGAAACGAACTGTTCATTAGAAAATTAATTTCAAGTGTACATGGCAGGTTAGTCACTAAAGCAAACGCAGTAGTCCACAAGGACATGACTAGGCTCATAATCTGGCGTCTGACCATCAGCCAAAGGCAGAAAGCCATGGCACACAGGGCAAGTAGGACGGCCATCTTCATCAGCCTCTTCTTGCCCAGTGCTCTCCCGGTCATCATCCGGCCTAGCCGTTGCACGTCTCTCCCTCCTCTTCCTATCCCGTCGTATTCTCACCCACTCCGACTCTTCCTCCTCCGCATCCGCCAGCACATACTCTGACTGCATCACCTCAGGAGCTGAAAACGCCTGCACGTCAAACCCATCCAGAGGTGGAAACTCAGGCGACGCCACACCCACGCCCGACGGGCCTTCCCCTTTCCCATCACCTGCCCCTGCCACTGCCAGCCCAGCAGCTGCACTGGAGGCAGCGGCAGCAGCAATGCCCCCAGCAGGCATGACAATGCCGTAGTCGGGGCTGCCGGGAAACTCATCCTCCTCCGGCCACCCTGCCATGCACCCCTCCCTGCCACTGCCCTCTGACCCCCTCGCCCTCACTGCTGCTGACCCAACCACTGATCCAATACCCACCCCCACCCCACCCGCCCCATCCCCACTGCTTCTCTCTGTAGCCCCCTGTGCTCTTGTCCCCTGCACGCCCCACGTCACTGTCCGCCCCCTCCCTCCCCCTGCCACCTGGCCCTGTCCGTCACCCTGTCTGTCCCTTCCGCCAGCGCGCACACCTCTGTCCACCCGCCCATCTGCCTGTGCAGGCCGAGCAGCAACCCTGACGTCCTCTGAAAACGAACGCGGCCGCACCATGACCCTCCGCTGCTCTTGCTGCTGCTGCTGCTGATGCTGCCGCTGCTGCCCCACCCTCTGCTGCTCCACGTCGGCAACCATGAACCCGCCAGGTGGCAGCGCACCAGAGGCCGCAGCGTGGCGACACGCCATGTCAGCCTTGCAGAGCTGCACGGCATCAAAGATCCGCACAAAGAACCACTGCCGCCCAATCAGGTCTGGGATCCCCGCCCGTGTGAGTCTCTGCATGACTGCATCACTGGGGTTGGCAAGGGCCAGGCGCACCCCCCTCGCCTGGTACTCCAGGCAGATCTCTCTCAACGCATGGCACGCTGCTGAGTCCACTGCATGTACTGACGTCATGTCTATAATCACGTACTCTATAGGCACGTTCGTCGCACCCAATGCTCTTCCTTTTGCCGCAGCTCCTCTCCCCCCCTGCTGTTCCCTTGCCGACGATTCTACTGGTGACACCAGTGCCTCGCCTGCCCCCGCTCCCTCCTCCACATCACAATCTCCGCTTCCCCCACTGCTCCCGCTCCCCCCTCCCCCACCCCTGCTGCTCCCACCGCTCCTGAAGCTGCTGGTGCGGCCGTCTAAGCTCCCGTCGCTGGCTCGCCGAGCCAGGCTGCTAGGACTGGTGGAGGATCGGGCAGGGCTGGGGGTGCTGTTGCGGGTGCTGGCGGCAGGTGTGGCGACGGCGGTGGCAGTGGGGGAGGAGCGTATGGGGGTGGTGGCGGGGGTGGGGGCGGGAAGGGGCGTTCTGCTGGTGAGCCCCTCGTAGCGCCTTAGCACGTCCCGCAGGTTGCTCACATTCGCAAAGTACCTGGGGGAGATGGGGGGGAGGGGTGGAAGGGAGAGAACCCAGAGCAAGTTAGCCAGCAGATGGACGGATAGAGACACCAGGCTACGTTGCAAACGAATCAGGAAACCAGAGTGGGTGGTGTGAGTGTGTGAAAGCAGGGCGTGGGTGAGGGTGCGAGGTTGCGATGGTGTTCCCACAGGGGCGAGGCAAGGGGTGGCTCACAGGTGGGAGTGGCACTTGATGACGGCAATCCCAGGGGTGACTTTAGCGTCGGGGTACTGCTGTACAGTGCGGTACACTGTGGTGCCTGGCAGCCGCCCCAGCTCCTCACACTGCACGTTTGCGGACTCGTTTATCACGAAGCCGAGGGAGATCACCACCGCCACCATCACCCCCGTCTGCATGACAAGGTATGGGGCAGGGAAGACGAGGGGAGGAAGGAAGGGCGAAAAGGATGGGTTGGTAAGAGCAATGCACCTCACACTGCGCGTTGGGCGACTCGTCGATCATAAAGCCCAAGGATATCACCACCACCACCATCACCCCCGTCTGTATGGTGTGGAGGGGTTGGGGGGAAAACAAAGTGGAGGGAGGAAGGGCGAGAGTGGGGGTTGATAAGAGCAACGCTCCTCACAATGCCCGATGGCCGACTCGTTCATCTCAAAGCCGAGTGATATCACCACCGCCACCGTCAACCATGTCCGTGTGCCGTGGAGTGGGGAGGGGAAGAAGGGCGCAGGGAGGCGGGACGGGGATGCATGGATTAACAAACAACAACTAGGTGACAACGGAAGGCAGGGAGATGACTCCCTCCAGCTGCATTCTCGCCCGTGTGATTGACACAGAGGAACGCAGCAGAACCGAACCTGAAGGCAGGCGGCGAGCGCACCTGGATGCCGAAGAAGAGAGTGCCGCAGAAGGCGAGCATCCACACGACAAAGTCCTTGGGATCCACTCGCAGGAGAAACGCCGCCTCCTCGTAGTCCACCAGCCCACACACTGACGACACCAGGATGGCTGTTGGCGAGGGAGAAAGGAGAAGGGGGAAATAGCACGTTAGAATAGGGCTTGTTATGATGGAGGTGGTAACGGCCCACTCGCAGCAGGAAGGCCGCCTCCTCGTAGTCCACCAGCCCACACACCGATGACACCAGGATGGCTGCACGAGGGGGAGGAGAAAGGGGGAACGCATGTAAGGTAAAGCCATGCAATGATGGTGATGGTGGTGGTGGTGGTGGGGTGGGGGTGGGTGGGGGGTGAGAGTAAGGTGGGGGAAGGAGGGGAGGGGAAAGGGATGGGGGGAAATGGGGATGGTGACAAGACCCATGTGTATGGACCTCTCCTGCTCACCACAGACACACAACTATCCTATCACCCCTCCCTCCCCTCTCTCCTGTTCTCCCCACTGACAACGCACCTCCAAGCACGGGCAGGGGCAGGAACTGGAAGAGCGGCGTGAGGAACATGAGAGTCACGAGCACGAGCAGCACGGACATGCATGCCAGACGCCCACCACATTCATATTCTCCCATTCCCCGTTCCCCTGTCCTTCTGTCCCTACGTCCCCACCTCCTCCCCCTCACACACGTACTTCCGAGCACAGGCAGCATCGACATGCAAGCATGGCTCATACCGCCACGTTCATATACTACTCTCATTTCCCCGTTACCCCCTCCCCTGTCCCCCTGTCCCCCCCTCCTCCCCCCCACACACGTACCTCCAAGCACGGGCAGGGGCAGGAACTGGAAGAGCGGGGTGAGGAACATGAGGGTGAGCAGCACGAGCAGCACGGACACCACGCCCGCCATGCCCGTGGCGGCGCCACAGTCGTCACTCACTGCCGACCGCGAGAAACTGCCGCCCGTTGGGAACGCCTGGAAGCACGACCCCACTGTGTTCGCCAGGCCTAGAGCTGGGGTGGGGGGAGAGTGTGAAGTGAGTGAGTGGGGGAGGAGGAAGGGAGCGAATGGGGAGTGGAAGGGACCTTAACCGAGAGAGAAGCTGTTGACTGTAAGGAGCGCGTGAAGCACGACCCCACTGTGTTCGCCAGGCCCAGGGCTGCAAGTGGGGTTGACCAGGGTTTGGAAACGTGGATGGGAGAGGAAGGGAGTGAGCGGGTGGGTGAGTGGAAGGGATGAGGACGGACCAAGCGAGTGGGGGAGTGCACGAGGTGTGAGCGCCGCTTGTCCCACAACAAGGCCTTGACGCACATCCTTCACCCTTACTGCCGCCGCACCACCTGCTCCACGTACACATCCCCTCCCCCTCGCGCCCTCCTAAGCAACACTCCCCTCTCCTCTCTTCCACATCCTCGCAGCAGCAAGTGTCCTGGCGACGGCAATCGTCTCCAGGTGCGCCACACTCGCCATGCTCTCGCCCTTCACCCCCCCCATCCCAACCCCTCCCCTACCCGCCCCTCCCCTCCCCAACCCACCGCATCCACATGCACGTACTACCAACGAGCTTTTACACCCTCCCTTCCCCCCCCTTTTTCCCTCTCTCCCCACCCAGCCCCCAGCCCCCACGCACCAACGAGCTCCTGGTTGGCGTCAACAGAACATCCATTCTTGGCCGCGAGCGTCTTGGCGATGGCTATGACCTCCAGATACGCCGCATTCCAATGACCTCACTTCTGGGTCGTCTCGAAACACCTCCCCACCCACTCGTTCCCCCCAGCCCACCTCCCCGTTCCCCCTTTCCTGCCCGCACCATTTCCCACAAAGACCCACCAACGAGCTCCTGGTTGGCGTCAACGGAGTAGCCATTCTTCGCAGCCAGCGTCTTGGCAATGGCGATCGTTTCCAGATATGCCGCACTCGCGATCACCAGCGCGGGCGACACGAGGTCGCGCCAGCGCGCCCAGGGGAACGCGGAGAAGGCTGCGGGGAGGCCCGAGGGCACGAGGCCCGTGACGCGGATGCGCCAGGGGTTGCGCAGCAGATAGATGGTCGCTGTGCCCATGGCTGCTGCTAGGATGGGACCCATCGTGCGGAGAATGCGCAGCCGCTTGTGCCGCTTGCCCAGGTGCTGGGGGGTGGGGGGTGGGGGGAGGGGGGAAAAGGCAGGGGAGAAGTGGGGAGGGGGAAGAGGGGTCACGGGGCGCTAAGATGGGGCCCAGCGTGCGCTGGATACGCAGGCGCTTGTGGCGCTTTCCCAGGTGCTGGGGGTTGCGGAGGAAGGGGGAGTGGGGGGAGGGGGGAAGAGGGGACGGGGAATAGGGGGCACGGGGCGCTAGGATGGGGCCGAGCGTACGTTGCATGCGCAGGGCGCTTGTGGCGCTTGCCCAGGTGCTGGGGGGTGGCGGGGGGTTCGGTTGTGAAGGGGATGGATGTGGGGCGTTGTGAGCATGAAGACGGGAGGTGGTGGCAGAAGGGAGAGGCGAGGGGATTGGCAGCAGGCACGAAGGGACATAGAAAACCGCAGTGCGATTTGGGCAGTGTTACGGTATGGAAGAAGAGTAGAGGATAGGAAGAGGGGAGGAGAGGAAGAGAGGGCGCAAGAGCGCGCGGGAGAGCACCTTCATGATCAGCAGAAACGCTAGCGCCAGCACCCCCATAATAAGCGAGGGCACGTGCGTGGTCTTGAGATTGACGAAGATGTCATAGAGGATCATGTGTATGGTCTCGTGGCGCGTGGTGTAGCCCAGGAAGTAGCGCATCTGCATGAGCCCCAGCATGATGGCCGCGCCGCTGCTGAAGCCCGAGACGACGGCGTGTGAGAGGAAGCGCACGACCCAGCCCAGGCGTAGTAGCCCTGCGAGCAGCTGCAGCGCGCCGAGCATGAGCGAGAGGAGAAGCGTGAGGCCCAGGTACAGGCGCTGCTCCGCGGGGTCGTGTGAGTCCGGGTCCGCCATCTGCCTGGTGGCGGAGGGGGGAGGGGGTGGAGGAGGAGTGAGGGGAAGGGGAAAAGGGAGGGTAGAGGTTGGGTGGGGGCGACGGAGGATGTGGGTGAAGGAGCATAAGAGGAGGAGGGAGGACTTGAGGGTGCAATGTGCAGCGTGACGCAAGGCGGAGCGGGAGCACTCACTTGATGGCTTCGTTGACGAGCAGCGACACGAGCGACGTCGGACCCAGCGCCAGCTGCCGCGAGCTGCCGAATATGCTGCGCGCCACCAGGAGAGCGCGGGGAAAGCGCGGGGAGAGCGCGGGGAAAGCGCGGGGAGAGCGCGGGGAGAGCGCGGGGAGAGAGCGGGGAGAGCGCGGGGAGAGAACGGGGAGGGAACGGGAAGAGCGCGGGAAGAGCGCAGGGAGGGAGTGGAAAGTGCGCGGGGAGAACACGCGGAGGGGGGTTGGGACGTGAGAGGGGGGTCATGATGACCAGCGGTCGCGGGGAAGGCACTAGGGTACGACGCACGCCTTACTTCTCATCCCACCACTCGTATTGCATAACAGCACTCGTGCAGCATTGAAGCAAGGTGGCCGGCTAACCGACCGGGACGGACCTATAGACAAGGCACGGCACGAAGCCGGTGTAGAGACCGTAGATGGACGGCAGGCCCGCGACGCGCGCGTACGCCATGCCTTGCGGGATGATCATGAACCCCACCGACAGCCCCGCCACCATGTCGCCTTTCAGGTCGCGCCGCACGTCGTACGACAGCAGCCAATCCAGGCACGGCACGGCGTCGCGCACCAGCCGCCACGTGCCGGCGAGCGACGCGGAGAAGCGGAGCGACGCGAAGGGGTTGAGCTGCGACAGCCATGACTGCTCCCGGCTCTGGCCGAACCCGAAGCGGAGAATGCGGACGGTGGGGCCCACGGAGTTCTGGCGCCTCGGTGCATTCTGCGAGCCGCTGTTAGGGTGGTCCTTAAGGAGAGGCGTCTCGAGCAATGTCACGTCGCGGAACGAGCTCGACGGCCCTATGGCTTTAGCCGCGCGAGTCATGATCAACAGCGTGGTGCGTAGCAGGCGCTAGTCAAATGACTAGATAATTACTGCAATCCTACATAATCTGGACTCTCTGCGGTCTCCTCCCATGAAGCTTGAGGAAGTGATGGAAGCCTAATTTCCCCCTCAAGCCAGGTTCCAGTCCAGATTCCATGAACAGAGCACAAGGCATCACTACTGTAATGTTCACTAGCCTGATGCCAGGACTCAGGAGGATCTGCGAGGAGGCTGGGCGGAGGCCCTTGGGATTGGTTGGTGGCAGTTGCAGAAAAGAGAGAATTACTGTAGAGCCCTGTTCGGTGATTCATCTTTACTCGCATGGCCTCGAATTACTCGAGTGGCCACCGAATTTGGTGATAATTACTGGAGTGGCCACGCCAGGGCATTTTCGAGGAGTTTTTTTCTCCGGAACATTTTCCTACAAGGGTTTGTATCCCCGAAATTCCTCGTTCGCACGAGTCTCATCCCGCGGTAGCGTTTCGTACTATTCCCCACCCGAAAAAAACTAAAACCCGCTCGGAAGGCATGCCATCCGAGGGAGCCTCAACCCTAAAGTTTTAGGGTTGAGGCTCCCGAATGGCATGCCGTAAGCCGTGGGGTTTATTTTTTCACCTTAGGGTAATGTGCCTGGAAAAAAAAGCCAGCGGGAATCCCCTGGCGTGGCCACTCGAGTAATCATCACCAAATTTGGTGGCCACTCGAGTAATTCGAGGCCACGCGAGCAAGGACGAATCACCGAACAGGGCACTGGAGAAATTCTCTCTGCAGAAAAGCTTGGTCCGCTCCAAATCTGTCAACATGGGGAGGCACGGGGAAAGGGGGTGGAAGAGGGAGGTGGGTGGACGAACTGGTATCTCGGCGCAAGTGCGCGTGCGGAAGAGCAGAGGGGGTGAACACTCACCCTGCGCGCGTCTTTCTGGCTTACGCGGGTGCATTCCCTCGGCAAGAACAAACCTGGCCGTTTTGCAGGGGCTGCCCTGGCCGCTCCACGAATCCAGTAAGGCCATAAAGACAGGAAAGCCTTATGATTGGCTGTGGCGCGATCCTCATTACAAAAGGCCTCCCTCGTCCGTACACACTGCTCTCGAACATGGACATAAAACAGCCCACTCAGATTCCTCAAGCTCTTGTAAGCAGCAGAATATGGCAGAAACTTTTTACTCATTAATCGGCATAATTTCATGCTTGAATCTGAACTCCCTGTACATAGCATGACCATCCATGCATAATTCTACTATCTGGAAATCCCAATATAGGACCATACCAGTGGTTCTAAACTAACTATGGTAGCCTAAAATGCCCCACCTAAAAAGAAACTACCCCTCAAGCACCCCCTACAGCAGACAATGCATGAGTCTCCAGCTCAGATGTTCCAGCTTGGGTGGCACTTGCTTTGGGTGCTGATACTGACTCGTGAGATGCATCTGCTTTCAATGGAACAACCAGCACTGGGCAAGGAGCATGGTGCACACAGTGCGAGCTCACACTCCCAAGAGCCATGCTGCGAAGACAAAAGGGTGTGTGACCCAGGGAGGTCGGCGAGAAGAAAAAGAAAGAGAGTGCATTAAGAACAACCATTGGTTTAACTCCTTTGGTAGCTCCAACAATCCACGGACAAAACTTCAGCTGTTTCCCATCCAGGGGAAGCCTCACCGTTTGAGCAGGCTCATGCCACGTGTCCCCATGACCATCAGATCCGCATCAACCCTCTCCACGTGGCTAGCTAGCACATCCCGAGGGTCGCCCTTGAGATCCACGCCACTCACCGCCACGCCCTCGTCCATCCCCAGCTTCCCACCCTCTTCCTTCACCACGGCAGCGCACTTCTGCAGCAGCTGCTGCGCCTTGGCGTGCCTCTCATGCTCTATGCGCTGGTAGTACTCCTGCCATGAGAACAGTGAGTCCGTGCGGAACTCTGTTGGACGCTCGGGGGGTAGAGGCATGGGGGACATGGGGGTGTAGCAATACCCCGGATCTGGCAGGAGGATTAGTTACACGGGAACAGGTAGATTGCGGTACTGCATAGCTGCAAGATGCAGCAAACCATACAACATACCTCACGTTTCCTTTAACGCAAGAAACTGCAAACAGGAGTGTGATAACAGTCATTACGGCGAGGAGGTAGCTTTTCTTCCCAGGAAAACATTCTGCCTGCTTCGAGGGGGGTGGGATTACCATTTGGCGGCTTGTGCGCGTGCATGATGTGGAACTCCTTGGCTGTGCGCGCGAAGAGCCGCACCGCCTCTCGAAGCGCGTGCATGCTGTTGTCGCTGCCGTCCACAGCCACGGCCACTTTCACGTTCCTCTGCGCCATCGCCGCACACACGAGCACCCATCGCCATCTTAGTAAGCTAGCACCCAAAAGCGGAGGGAACTAAACAAAAAGAAAAAAGAAGCGCAGAGAAGTACCTGAGTGCCCATGTTTCGACTTATGGACCAAGAAAGTTCATCCGATTCAGCAGCCGTAGTGCGTGAATGCTATCCAGATACGCAGACAAAAAATCTCAACATTAATGATGCAGCCTTTGTATCTTGAACCGTCGAGTTCTTTCTACGACCCCGGTGTTTTGGAGAACAGTGGAGTAGCCGGCTGCAGGGAGCGGTAAGCTCCATGAATCGCAACGCCATGCTGCGTCCCGACAGCACACGAACAGCGTTGCTCGACACGCGGCAGATGAGCGATGTTAGAGGTGACGAAGGTATGCCATGGAGGAGGGCAATGCCGAGTGTGATGCATTCTGCCTGGTTGGCTTTGAAAAATGTACTCGTTACGGTGCTGCCCTACAGAGTACGGGTTCAGTGGTTATCGAGGAATCTTGCATTTTAAAAATACGCATCTGTAAAATAGTCATAGAATACAAAACGCATAATAAAAGAATGAACATAACACTAGTACATATATGAGTTAAACATAACAGATTCACGCATATTGGGCACTGAATATAAATGGATTCGGTCCACTTAAATCTATATTTTTGTCAGAAAGAAGCTTTAACGCTTCATTAATGGACGCCTCTGGAAGTTTAGGCGTCCTAGAAAGGAGCCGGACAGTGACCTGCAAAACAAATCATTGAAACAATTTTAAGGAACAATTACAGTATGTAGCAACCAATGGATGATGCTGCAGGCCATGCAATCCTCACCTGGCCATCTTGATCTGATGACAAGCCTGGTGTGGACTGGTAGCACGAGTACACAAGTGCATGTGAGTACCCCTTAGCAGAATTGCCCCAGAGACCAATAATCCAGTGGTCTGTCTGCACGCCCTGAAACTGCTGGATCATCTTCCCAGCCTGCCACATACCCCACAGAACACAGCAATGTATTAAGCACAGCAGCCAAAGAAAAGAAAACAAGCCACAGCCCAAAAGAGTGTTGCCAGCTGTATGCATTTCCCCGTCCAACTGCCATCAACCAACCTCGGAGGTGAGTTTGAGAGTGGCGGTGGCGGTGGTGCGTGTGGTGTAGAGCGCAGGGCTGGGGCTGCTGAAGAGGCTCGACACTAGGGGCGACAGAGAGCGCGTGGCGGAGGCCAACGCCGCCACGCGCTGCGAGAAGGTGCTGCCGTTCTGGCACTCGGTCATCACGTTCGCCATAGCCAGGGAGATCTGCCACGTGGACATGGGTAGATGGAGACACGAGGATTGAGCCATCGTCAGCGCAAACGACGACAGGAAGGAAGGCATTGCCAGGAATGGAGAGTGCAGCTTTGTAATTAGAGACGCAGACGCTATTTTTACATCGACTTGAGCCTGACTCGTGATAGTTCACGTACTGCTTCCTTCCCCTTGGCGCTGCCCTGCGCTGCAGTCACGCCGCCTACAATCACGCGGTTCATGGCAGCGATAGAAAACATCTCGTTCCGCTTCGCGTCGATTCCCTTCGCCGCCCCCTGAATCGCGCTTGACGCGCTCCGCAACGCGCTCTTCATCCGCGTCACCAACGCGAAGGAGTCGCGCTGGTTCAACTGCGCATTGGCGCGCTGCACGTCATCCAGCTCCGCCCAAAGCGTTTCCGCGCGTCGCGACACGTCAGCCACGGCGCCCTCGATACTCCCGAGGCCGTATGACACGGACTGCTTCACGTCGACCGGGAGCTCTTCGGAACCGAGCGTGAGGTACGACGTGCTCAGCTGCTGCTTCGTGCGCACCGACGACACCATGCCGCACACGGCGCGCAGCTGCTGCGCGAGAACGGTGGTGGCGGCGGAGATCGCGGCGACCTGGCTGCGGCGCATCGGCATCACCGCCACCACGCCCTGGCGCGTCAAGCTTCGGGCGAGAAAGGAAGCAGGCACACATAAAGACCATGGCTGACGCACAGGTTCGGGAGACTTAAAAAAAAAAAGAAATCAGAGTAGCTTGAGGGTGCAGTGTGAGTGAAGCTTGGTTAGTGGGCTTCATCGGTACCTGAGAGCGCCGCGGGACTTTCCCTTCTTGGCGGTGCTGTAGGTGTAGGTTATGGACGCGATACCCAGCTCGCCCTTGCTCTGAAACTTGCCCAGCGCCGTGGCACCAATCTCGTACCACTTTCCCTGCTCGGCAACGGGGGCAGCGGAATACCGAAAGGGAGGAAGAGGGGAGTTGAGAGATCCCGTGGTACGAGAGGATTGACGTGTGGCCGATGGTTGACGGGCGGTGCTTACCATGAACTTGCCCATGTTGAAGTTCGGCACGGTCTCGACGTTCGGGCACTTTGGGGATGAATCCTCGACGAATTTCTCGCAGAAGGGTACGTCGTCGGAGCCATCGCTGGGCGACACATCTTGAGCTAGCGAGCCTGGTGGCAGAAGTGTCACGAGCAGGATAGCGAGCGGTAGAACGAGCAGGCACACGCGGAAACACCTTGTTTCCATAAAAACAGTAGTGGCCGTAGCTCTAAAGTAGGATTCAGTCTACGTGCTTCTGGAGATTCAACAACACAGGTAAAAGGTCTACAGATTGTTACTACTTCAGACGAAGGCGAGAACATCAGAAACATTTCGATTCGAAGTGTGGAATTTGTGTTGCTTCGTCAGTGCGAAATGAGGAGGGGGAGAGAAGGAACAAGGGTAGGAGCAGGGCGACTGCGTTGTGAAATGAATCCAGGGAGAACCGTCGTGTCACTCTCAAATGCGCGATTCGAAATGTCGGTGAAAATGTTGTTGAAATCTTGCTGGGCGCCCAAATTTAGCTCCGTTGCGACGCGTAAAGGAAAAGTGACCCGTAATAGCACAGCTGGCTTATAAGAAGTCATTTATCTGATGTAGCTGAACAAACATTGTATGCCCAATCAATCAAACTCCTACAGGATCCTCATTAAGATATATTATCCAGGGGCTACTTTAATCGGCTCCAATAATTTTTGCACCAGCTCTGAGTGTGATCAGTGCGCTGTAATGAATTAGCGCCTGTGAGCCGAAGGCCAGCAGTTGTGAGACGGCCCAAAGCAGCATCTATATCGGATTGCGCCACATTGGGGGTGCGAGATAGAAGCCAAACCGTTGTCTGCACTGGGAAACCAAGGGGGGTCAGAGAGTGACAAAAATGATGCGAATAGGCACTACAGTCAATGCAGACGTACCTTGCCCTGATAGCAGGTATAAACGGTGGCAAGGCTGTAGCCACTGGAAGCGTCTCCTTGCAAGTCAGTGATAATGTAGTTGGGCTCTTTTGACTTCTTACCATAGAATATCACAAACAGTTTTCCAGCCTGCAAGCAAGAGGGAACACATCGTTTGTGACAAATGGATAAACACCATAGAACCGCTTATATTTTCATGATGCGACAAAGAGTAGGAAGCACTTTCAGTTGAGGGGATGGAAAGATGGCAGCAGTGCTCACATTGCTCTTGCTCTGGATGGCCTTGGCGCGCGGAAAGCCACCCTGACCCACGCGGGAGAAGGGGGAGGGCACCATGGAGAGCACAACGGGAACCATGGCGGTGGCGAGCCTGCTTATGCTGCTGGATGCGAATAGCAGCCTCGTGTTTCGCACAAATGCCTGAAGCTGCACTCACCACAATGCACACAGGGACACGGCAATGGAGGCAGCACAACCAAGGCAAGTCAGAGACCGATGGAGAAGCATAAAGACAAGGTAAGTTATTCGCAGTTAAGTCAGAAAAGAACAATCAGGAGACTAGCACGTACCCCATTGGCAGCAGTCTTGGCATCCTGCCTGCCCAAGGACTGCAGCACTCCGCTGAGCTGCTTCGCTGCAGTCCTCCCAGTAAACCCCGCCTGGAAGATCCGCCCAGCAGCGCCCTGGATGTTGGAGATGGACTTGAGCATCTTGCCCTTGGCGCTGCTGTATTCCTTGGGATTCGGCCGCTCATTCATCACACTCATCGCCGTCTGGAAATCCCTCGCGGCGTTGTCAATAATTTCCGCGTCAGACGACACCGAGGCGAGAGATGCCGCAAGCTCATTGGCTGCCGTGAGCGGGCCTGAGGTTGTGCCGACACTGGTTGTGGCGGCGTCCGCAGAGGCGTTGGCGGCGAGGAGGGCCTGCGCCTGCGCGCTCGCCTTGGCTGCGTTGTATGCGACTCGGCAGACAATCCCGAGGTTGGTGGCTATGCGGCCGGCGTTCGTCGAGGACAGTAGAACCTGTGCTTGCCGCGCGAAGGCAATGCTGCGCTTGCCACGATTGAGCACCCTGTGGAACGGGCGGAGGGCGGAGGGTTGAGACGGGGGGAAGCATGGGGAGACGGGGGGTGGGATGGAGACGGAAAAAGGTGGAGTAAGGACGGAGCGAGGGTATGGAGTTTCAGGCTTATACTGAATGGACGAGAAGGGGTATTGTGGGCGGAGAAGTGACGACAATCGCTGCAGTGATGCTACCACGAGCGCAACACAAAAGCTGTGACCAGTTCAAATCGTATCGGTGCGAGAGTGAGTGTGAACATGGTTTTTGGTGCGTCCTGTAGGTTTTCCTGAGACATGCACCAGAGGTGAGTTTGGGCACAACCCACAACTTTAGCTCGCTCGCGGCTCACTTACTTGATTCGCTTCTGCCCGTTGACCTGCCCGTTGGGTGTGTAATCCGCCGTGGTGCACGTGAGCCCCACCTCCCTCTCGTAGTGGAACCGCGCTGTCAACGCCACCTCGTACCACCGACCCTGCCGCACCACAGCAAGTCACGGCGAGCAGATAAAGTGATAGCGGATCAGGGCGAGAGGTCGCGGCGTCGTGGGAAGTCATGACGTTGATTGGAAGGCGAATAGTTATGATGAGGGGAGAAAAGTGCGTGACCGCTGTTAGTACGAGGAGGGCGCGATCGGGCGCTGCGAGGATTCCCCGCCAAGGCCCGGATGCCGGGCCATGATCATGATGAGCGGCGCGAAGCGACGCGTCGACATCGCTGAGAAGGGAGAAGGCAAGAGATGGGCCGTTCCTGGCAGGGCGAGTGTAAGTGGGGTAGCCACGTACGTGGCCACAAACCAAACCAGCAACGTCAAAGTCACTGTTGCGAGACGAAATGCCATTCGAGTAGTAAACTTTGCAACTTTTCATGACGCGAGACTGGATGCGCATATGAACGCCAGTGACATTATGTATAGAAAGCCGCAGTAAAAAACACTTTTGTCTCTGTCAAGTGCCACCTAAGCGATGAACCTTGACTTGAAAGCACCGGGCATTTTGAGTCATCGAAGTGACTTACAAATAACCTTCACGCACCGACATCGCTAAAATCGAAATGCGAAAGTTATCAGGCGACTGCTTCCTGTACGTCTTGTCCACATCAGTCGACCGCGGTGGCCTGATGGTCTGGCCAGCGCCAAACCGTCGCGGAGGCCCAACTCAGACGCGCCACGTGCCGCTTATACGAGCAAATGTCGGTTGATCCACGCGAAAAAACGAACAATATTTGTAGTGCGAGGTTACACATACCGTGTAAGCCGAGATGTCAACGGTGTCGAAGGACGCGAGCTTGGGGCATTTGAAGGCATCAAGATAGTCGGCGCAGAACGACGCGGAGGCGGGTGCTAGCGCAAAAAGCGCGAGGAGCAGCGTAACAGCCGCCGTAACTTGCGCCAACCTGCGAGCAGCCATCGCTCGACAGCCTTACGGTCAGCTCAGAACTTGCAGGTGTGACCGACGCGTCTTGTACTCTAGTCGGAAAGTCAGCACTCAGCGTTGATGGGAATGGCTGGATAACTGTCAAATCACAAATCACTGGTAAGGAGGTGCTTTGGTGTGGTGTGTTATGCGGCGAATGGACTTGTAAAGCGACGAGTGTTCATGTTTCACCTTTGCTCACACTATCCGCGCTACATTTCGTGTGCTATTCAGTACACCGATCCGCACCGCATGTCTGAATTTCGCCCAGCATTCACTATTGTGTGAGTTCGGTTAGGAGGGACTTGTCATTGGCTAATTGCGTGCTGATGTGGAGTTGCCCCCTTTTTGTAGGCGTCTGGCGTGTTACGACGACCACGAACCAATTCCACCGCTCCTACGCGCGCTTCGCCTTCTTGGGGGGCCGCCGTAAGGCGATGCGGAATTGGTGGCTGGCTGGTGATACTGTAGTGAATGATCGAATCCAAGTCCAAACAGAGTGCACTGGACTGGGGTCTGCTCTGGAGGAGGGGAGACTCACACCAGCACACAAGCACGCTGCGCCACGAATTTCCAGCCGGTAATGTTCCGCAGTGACGAAACATGTCTTCATTCGAAGCTCCGAAGCGCGTCAAATCAACTTCTAACTCAGCGACCACAATCCAGATCACTTCAAGGATCGTCGAGGAGCCGATGACCGCAAATGTACTTGCTGAACTGCTGACGGGGATCGTTGTGGATCGCACGACGTGAAGTGGGAAGGCCTCAATTACAATCTGTGGCTCATTACGATACATTAGCTCTCAAGATACATAAGAACAAACAAGTGTCCCAATATAACATTATCTCAGCGTGCTCCAATATTTAGTGCACCAACTTGTACTCTGGTCAGTAAGCAAGAATGGGTTGGCACCAGTTAGCCGTAATCCAGCATCAGTAAGACGCGCCAACGCAGCATCTATCTCAGACTGTGGAATCGTAGGTGTGCGAGCCAGAAGCCAGATTGTGGCCTGCAGTGGTAAAGCGTTACCAGGGAAGATTAGTTTAGTATTCCCCACAATAATCGTGAAGCATCAACAAGGAAAAACGAGAAACTTATTTACCTCGCCTCCACTTGTATCAACCACAGTTGATTGTGTGTACTGCCCCGCCGATGGATCGCCTTGCACGTTAAACACAGAGTAGTTGGGCTTTGTTGGCGCCGGGCCAAAGAATGTCACAGAGAGGCGGCCCGCCTGCATCACCAGAGGAACCAAAGAAATACAAGTGTGTGTGAGACCAAAGCGGATATAGAGGGAGCCAGCACAACTCTGCAAGGACGAGGCAGGCCTGCAGCAAGCTTACATTCTTCTTGCTTTGCAAGGCTTTGCCTCGAGCAAAGCCTTGTGAAAGGCTTCTGAGAGGCGACGGCACCATGGCGACTGTGGGTGCAACCATGACCGTGGCGAGCCGCACAATGCTGGTGGCGGCGAACATTATCCTTGTGTTTCCCACCAGCGACCCCAGCTGCACACGCGGCATACACAGGTATAACGCACACATAACACAAAGGACGCGTGAGCAGAGCAAAATTCTGGCTGGAGGCACTAGGACGGCATGGCAGAAGGTACACCTATGCTGATCCCAAGGGGAGCAGCATGCTGGGTTCAGCTCCCACGTACCCCGTTTGCAGCTGTGTCTGCGCCCTGCCCACCCATGCCTCTCAGCGCCCCAGACAGCCCCTGTGCTGCGGTCTTCCCAGTGAAAGCCGCTTGAATTATTCGTCCAGCAGCGCCCTGGATGTTCGAGATGGACTTGAGCATCTTGCTCCTGGCGCCGCTGAACCCCTTGGCCTGCCCGCGCTTGTTCAGCTTGTCGGCCTCCGTCTGAAAATCCCTCAGTGCGTTGTCGATCATCTCCGCGTCAGACGACACCGCCATGGCGAATGCGGCGAGTTTATCGGCCACAGCGAGGGATTCAACGCTGCTGTTTGTGGCGGTATTCGCGGAGAGGAGGGTCTGTGCTTGAGCGCTCGCTGCAGCGGCGGTGTTGGCGACTCCACAGACGATCCTGAGATTGCTGGCGATGCGATTGGCGTTTAACGAGGTGGTGAAGATCTGCGAGCGGCGCGGGAGAGCGACGCTGCGCATGCCGCGGTTGACCACCCTGAAAGACGAGCGAGGAAGGACGACGCAGGGAGGAAGGAAATGGAGAACGTGTGAGGGAGAGAGGGGGGGCAAGTAACACAGGACAAAAAAAGATGCTTCAAATCGGAGCCACAATGGCGTGTGACTATGCGGCAGTCAGAAGGAAAGCGTGCACCTTTGACTGATCCACGTTATTAATCTTTCAGCATCTGTGACCATTGCCGTTGAGAGTGAAGTTCACTCAAGCCAGTACCGCGGCGCGCATGCCACCCAGAACTCACTTGACTTTGTTGCGGCCGTTGACCAACCCCTTGGCCGTATAGTTGGCCGTCGTGCACGTCAGCCCCAGCTCGAACGTGAATCGGAACCCCGCCGTCGATCCGATCTCGTACCACCGGCCCTGTCGACGGTTAGAAAATAACGCGGATGGAAGGTTGGCGAGATTGGCGAGGCGCACACGGGTGGGCGGAAATCAAGGAGAGGGTGGGTCAAGAATGATAACGAGGCGGCAAATTTCGGAGGCCGCGAATGAGGGGAAGAGAGGAAGTGTGCGAGCCGCATACGTAGGCGTCGCAAGATTTATCGGAGGAACGCCTGGTACTACAACGAGGCGGGTGACCGTCCCTGGTATGGGAAGGGTGTGATTGCGCAGCTGCGACTGCGCATCGCGTGGCGTGAACGCGACAGTCGCTCAAATCGCAGCCGAGCCGACCGTGAAGGGGTGTTAATCGGCTGTGAGTTGGGTCTCTCACTCGCAAGCGCGCGTTTCACAGTGCGTTTCGCTGAAGTGACTTTCAATGGCGAGCGTGCGGTTGAACGTACCGTGTACGCGGTGAGGACGATGTCATCCACGGATGCAAGATCGGGCGATTTGAAGGCCTGCACGTAGTCGGCGCAGAACGACGCGCCGGCGGGCCGCGTACACGCCGCGGACAGCGCGAGAACCAGCGCGATTGCCGCCGCGACTTGCGCTAAGCTGCTAGGGACTGTGGAGGTAAAGGGCCGCGCGGCCATCATGTGCGCCCGAGGATCGCTTTGAGCTACCTGGCTAATCAACCAGCAGTGAGCTTATAACTTATAATGCTACGCGGAAACGCGAAGGGTCTAGCTCACCGTGACAAGCGCAAGGGCAGTGAAGGGCGACTGCGTCGACCAAGAACAAGTCCCAATGGGGCTTTTACTGCTAACACCGCCACTCGTAGTCGTGGTAGTACTAATAACGCTCCAAATAAGTGGTGGTGATGGTGTCAATGGCTGCCAGCTGGTTTATGAATCATGAACGCAATGCGGCTGCGGCTGAGCTCCTCCTTTGGTTGGTGTGCGCGGTGAGGGTCAGGGTGTGGTGGTGGTGGAGTGAAGGGACGCGCCACGTCATGCGGTATCCTCCTCGCTCACACCGTCCTTGACCGCTTCGGCGCGGAGCGCGCGTTTTCAAAACCACACAGGGTGGCGCAGCTTCGGTTCTCTCGCCGATGTCGGGTTACCCATCCTACTGCACCTGCACGACTCCCGTGAGTCGTCGTCGTGACGGACACCGTCGTCCATAAAACTTGGTTGGAACCATTTCTGCGATGTTTCCTCACTGACGTATTACTTCAGATGCTGCCAAGTTTTCAGGACCACGCACTGCCGCTGACCTACGTGCGCCTCGCAACAGTGGAGCACGCTAGCCGTCGGCCTACGCAAAGCTGAGCCACAAACACAAGTGAAGCGAGAGGCGAGGGAGGGCGAGGGATACAATTGGCTGTTGGTTAGAACAATGAGATAAAGAGGGGATTTCACACAGGGTAGTTTACACCGTGGGTTAGAACCGTTTGCTCGACGCTCCAGCTTGTATCATTGGAGGCGCGTTGTTGTCGGTCGGGCATCCATCCACCCACAGGTAAAGTGCGCAAATACACCTCAATGCTCTTACCCTCGATTCAAGGCTTGAGTTGCTGGATGTTTGGAGGAGAGGGTCTACGTTCTGTACACCTTTGCAAGACCCAGCACGCTTCTTGGGTAGGCAGAACCGACCCCAGTTTGTGTCGCAATTTGCAACCCAGTTCAGGTCATGTGTTGTGTTGAATTGTACTGTGCCTAAAATAGCGACCAGATTCATGATGCACATCGAGAGCAGTTGTCGTGCACTATCGATGGCCACAATGTGCTGACGTGGGCTGTTGTAGACCGTCATAGGTTGTGTCTCCTAGGTGACAATAATACTCAGTAAAGGCTTTGGCTCGTTAACGATGCAGGGAGGCAAATACTGTGTTTGCTGAATGTGCAGGCAAACAAGTGGGCCAACAACACTTCATCTCAACGTGCTCCAATATTTTGTGCACCAACTTGCACTCTGGTCAGTGAGCAAGAATGAGTTAGCTCCTGTTAGTCGTACTCCAGCAGCAGTGACGCGCGCCAATGCAGCATCTATCTCAGACTGCGGAATTGTAGGTGTGCGAGCCAGAAGCCAGATTGTGGCCTGCAATAACAATAAATGAGGGTTAATTCTCACGTCTCTAGACAAACATCAACACGGGAAAAGGGGCAAGCAGAATTACCTCGCCTCCTCTGGTGTCAACAACAGTTGCTTGTGTGTATCCCGCCCATGCATCGCCTTGCACGTTAAACACAGAGTAGTTGGGCTCTGATGGCACTGGGCCAAAGAATGTCACAGAGAGCCGGCCCGGCTGCACCCAGAGACGACCAAAAGACACGAGTGTGAGTCCAACAGGGGAAATAGAAGGAGCCAGCACCTCTCCCAAGAACAAGGCAGGACTGGAGAAAGCTTACATTCTTCTTGCTTTGCAAAGCCTTGCCGCGAATGAAGCCTTGTGTAAGGCTTCTGAGAGGCGATGGCACCATGGCAACTGTGGGTGCGACCATGACTGTGGCAAGCCGCGCAATGCTGGTGGCAGCAAACATTATCCTTGTGTTTCCCACCAGCGACCCCAGCTGCACATGTGGTACACATAACACAGAGGATGCGTGAGCAAACCATACTTCTGGCCAGAGGCACTCGGCACAGCATGGAAGCAGCTACACCTACGCTGATCCGATCCCAAGGAGAGCAGCATGCTGGGTTGAGCTCCCACGTACCCCGTTCGCAGCAGTCTCTGCACTCTCCCCACCCATGGCTCTCAGCGCTCCAGACAGCCCCTGTGCCGCAGTCTTCCCAGTGAAAGCCGCTTGAAGAATTCGCCCAGCAGCGCCCTGGATGTTGGATATGGATTTGAGCATCTTGCTCTTCGAGGCGCTGAACCCCTTGGCCTGTGGCCGTTTGTTCAGCTTGTCGGCTTCCGTCTGAAAATCCCTCAGTGCGTTGTCGATTATCTCCGCGTCAGACGACACCGACGTGGCAAACGCGGCGAGTTTATCGGCCGCAGCGAGGGATTCAATGCTGCTGTTCGTGGCGGCATTTGCAGAAAGGAGGGACTGTGCTTGAGCGCTCGCTTGGGTGACGGTGTTGGCGGCCCCACAGACGATCCTGAGATTGCTGGCGATGCGGTTGGCGTTTAACGAGGTTGTGAAGATCTGCGAGCGACGCGGGAGTGCAACGCTGCGCCTGCCGCGGTTTACCACCCTGGGCACGGATGCAGCCCGCGGTGGGAGGGAAGGGATGGAGAAAGAGTGAGGGAGGGCGGGCAAGCAAGGACAGGAAACAAATGCTTCAGATGGGAGCCAGAATGGCATGTGACTACGCAACAGGTTGATTGACTTGTCAGGAGAAAAGCTCGCGGTTTTAATTAATTGACGTATTAATCTTTAAAGCATCTGTGACCAAGGACGTGCACGTGCACCGCATTTGTTTCTCAGAACATTCACCGCCGTCACTCAAGCTCAGCGTTTTTCTCCCGGCATACGAGTCGCATGCAACCCAGGACTCACTTGACTTTGTTGCGGCCGCTGGGCGTGACACCCTTTGCCGTGTAGTTGGCCGTGGTACACGTCAGCCCTAGCTCGAACGTGAACCGGAACCGCGCCGTCGACCCGATCTCGTACCACCGGCCCTGCACGCGGTTAGACAACAAGGCTGATGGAAGGTTGGCGATGTTGGATATACGGAGAGGGTGGGTCAAGAATCACTACTCCGAAGCGGCGGCGGGTTTCGGGCGCAGGAGTGTGAGAGTCGCGAGATGTAGGCGTCGCGAGAGTCAGACGAACGTCAAGGGGGGTGGGGTGTGGGGGGGACGGCAAGGATGTGATGTCTGCTGTGACTGCGCGGCGATCGCTCAAATCGACGCTGCGGCGTCTGGAAAGGGGTTCAATGGCTGTACGTTGAGACTTTCACTCGCAGGCCTGTGTTTCTCATCCTGTGGGTGACTTTCAATGGCGAGCGTGCGTTTACGGCCGTGTGCGTTTAGAGTTGCGTGCGGTTGACGTACCGTGTACTTGCCGAGGGCGATGTCATCGACGGACGGGAGCGTCGGGCACTTGAAGGCCTTCACGTAGTCGGCGCAGAACGACGCCGCGACGGGCCTCGTACACACCGCGGACAGAGCGAGAAGCAGCGCGATGATCGCCACGACTTGCGCTGAATTGCCTGTAAGGACTGTGGAGCTATTGGGTCGTGCGGCCATCGCTGTGAACGAGAGGATCGCTGTGAAATGCTACGCGGAGTTTCGCCTTAGCTCACCGTGACAAGCGCAAGAGCAGTGAAGGGCGACTGCGTCGTCCTAGTAGAAGACCCAGCAGGACTAATACTGCTAACACCGCATCTGGCAATAGCCAATGCAGCTCCAACTAGTAATGTATAGTCTAGTGGTGATGGTGATCGTGCGAATGGATATCAGCTGATACATGAACGCAATGCGGCTAAGCTCTGCCTTCAGTCTGCGCGGGTGAGGATCAGAGACCTGGGTGTGGTGGTGAATCGTGATATCTTGAAGGGACGCGCCATGTCATATCCTCCTCGCTCACACCGTCCTTGACCACTTCGGCGCGGAGCGCGCGTTTTCAAAACCACACAGAGTGTCGCAGCTTCGGTTCTCTCGCCGATGTCGGGTTTCCCATCCCATCCCACCTGCACGACTCCCGTGAGTCGTGACAGACACTGCCGTCCATAAAACCTGGTTAGAGCCATTCAGCGATGTTTCCTCACTGACGTACTTGTACTTCATGCTGCCAAGTTTACAGGACCACGCGCGGCCGCTGACCTACGTGCGCCTCGCAACTGCGGAGCGAGCAAGGCTGAGCCACAAACACAAGTGAAGCGAGAGGCGAGGGAGGGCGAGGGATTGACAAAGGCTGTTGGTTGAACAGTGAGATAAAAAAAGTGATTTCACGAAGGGCTGTACAGTTGAGCTGTACCACAGTTTAAACCGTTAGTTAGAACCGTTTGTAAGGCGCGTTGTTGTGGGTCGGGCATCCACAGGTAACTAAGTTCACTAAGTGCGCGAAAATTGCTCTCACACCTCAATTCCAGGTCTACTGTACAGTCCACCTTCGCAAGGCCCAGCTCGTTCTTGGGTGGGGCAAAATTGTCCCCTCCCCACCCAAGTTTGAACTGGAGAGGAGAGGATATCTGCTGCACCCCAGTTCAGGTGGTCTTGCGTTGCGTGTACCGTTGGGTATGACCGTTGTACACCTAGTTCTCGATAATTGCACACCCCCTACCCTTTTTTTCGTATGTACCCTTTACGGACTTTGACTTGATGCGATGGACACCCAGAGATTGCGGGACTAGACAGCTGGCAGGTTCCTTCAGAAAGAAACTCGCACTTAAAATTCGGGGTTGGGGTTTAGTTAGGTTTGGGTTCTCTTTTACACTCTTGGTGCACCCCGTCAGTTCGCGAAAGTACGTCTAGGGTTGGTAACTCCTCCGCGGTTTTCCTAGAGTTGGTAACTACCCTACGAAACCGATAGGGGTAGGGTAAGTACCCCAAGGTGTAAGATTAAGAGGTGTGAAATAATCGAGAACAGGATGTACTGTGAATTGAACTGTGCTCAAAATCGAGACGTGATTCATGATGGCCAGAGAGAGCAGTTTTTGTGGACAATCGATGGCCACAATGTGCTGACGTGGGCTATTGTAAACCATGACTGGCGGGAGACAATCATACTCGGTAAATGCTTGGGATCGTTGAAAATACAAGGAGGTAAAATGGTTTTGCTGAATATGCAAGCAAGCGATACCATCACGATGGTTACGGTTTTACCATCAGCGCTGTCGCCCTGTTGAACACAATCATTCCAGCGGGAGAGACAATCACATGCCAGCGTTTAGAAACACAAAATCGAAACGTAATTCCAGCCCCTGGGTTTTGTAGTCAGGCGGTAGCATGCACAAAGTAGAAATCGCGACGCGCATCTCCAATGTGGAATTTGACATCTCACGCACATGCTGCCGCCAACATCACGGTGCCTTTTCGGCAAGAACGAGGTTCGGACGCCATCACCTACATCCTTTTGCCACATCGCACCCTCAGCCCGCATCAGCACATGAGCCCATCTCTGCTCACCCACCTGAACTCCCCGCCTTCGCGAGTCCCATGAGGCTTTCACCTCTCGCCGCGGTTCACGTTCTGCGCCTGATTCTATCACGCGGTTTGCACATTTATTGTCACTTCTCTACTGTCCGCTGTCAATCGTAGTAGGTACTTCGAGTACGTCGAGCTGGTACCACCTAAAAGAGTTTAAATCTGTTGCGTGGCTTGTCTTCTCAGGATTAGTGGTCCAGCATGGGAACTTTCGAGGGCCATTTGCTTCCCGGAGCCGCGTTTCTCCTATTCGGCTCGTGGCAGCTGTTCAACGTCTTGCGAGCCTTCTTTCAGCGTCCTGGCAGCTTCCAGTCCCGTGCATGTGTCCCCACCGCCACCACAGGCATCAGGCGCTACATGGAGCTGATCTTCATCTCACTTGGAGCTACAGCATCAATACTCATGTCAGTTGCACATGTTTCACAACATCCAACCTGATTTGATTTTTCCTTGAATTTCATTTTTTGTTGTATTACAGTAAATTTGCTGTCATGTAAATTCCGGTGCACAGGGAGCTCGTGCTGACTCAGCCACACTTCTCCCCTCTGGACAAGCACCACGTGATCCTGCTCGACGCATTCAACAACCTGGAGCATGCCGCCATCTCCCTCTTCTTCCTCCTCTACGCCCTCACCTGCCTCCTCTGCGACCTCCTCCCCAGCCTCCCTCCATACCTGCCACACCTCGTGGGTGCCTCGGCTCTTGCTCAGGAGTTTCTACTCTTCCACTTCCACTCGGTAGATCACATGGGCTTGGAAGGGCACTATCACATGCTGCTGAGAATTCCTATTGGCATCGGGGCTATTTGTGCAGTACTTGAGATCGCACACCCCACATCCTTCATGCTCTCTCTTGTACGTGCCATGAGCTTTCAGCTGCAAGGCGGGGTGTTTATCCAGATCGCCCTGTGCATCTGGGTGCCGTCGCTGGTGCCCCTTCACTGCATGCGCGATGTGGTTACCAACACAGTTACATGCGAAAGCGAGGTGTGGCATGGGAGGGCGAAGGCCCTCGCCACTCTGCAGTTCACATGGTGGAGTGCCGCAGTTGTGCTGAGCACACTGATTGCCACTGTACTCGCCAGCCAAGCCTTTCAAGACCCTTCAGAAGGGGTTTATTCCATTGTCATGAGGGCACCGAAGGCTGATACTCCAAGGGACATTGAAATGGCAGACTCCAAACCACTGTTAGACACCCCCTCATCTGACGAGGAAGCTCTGAAGGAAGACCCATTTGCAGGCGCTGTAAAAGCGTGTGCGGGTGGATAAGATACAGCAGCACTTTTGTTTGAATAGCCGAGCTAGGAGTCGTTGCAACTTCAGCACTCACTTGAATGGGTGGCTGCAGATGGAGTTGCACGTGGATGTGTGATTTGGAGCACAGTCCCTTGTAATGAATTGATTAGAATTGCGATATAAGTGTAGGAGCTAACTGTAGTAAGAGAGCAGTAAGGGATTTCGAAGTGAGATGACCACTGAGACTGGAGGATATCCCGAATCGCAGTAGGGTTACAGCAACAAAGTGCAATAAGAACAGCAACAACTTCTGGTGTTTGGAGAATGTAGATGGCATCCAGAGGTGCTTGAATAAATACATAGTCGGAGGTGCCAGTGATGCGACTGATGGTGGAGGAGGAGAGCAGTGCAGCCATGGTTGGACTCAAAAGACCTTGGCGAGCCAGCCCCTGGTGGTGATTGAACATAGATGTGACAATACGGAGGGAATGAACAGTGAAGTTTGAGAAGAGATGACACACAGGTGCAGCACAAGCGAGAGAGGGGCGAGAGAATGGAGAGCTGTGAAGGGGCAAGCGAGCAGTGTGAAAGACCGAAGAGAGGGGATGTGAGGGCGTGCATGTGGCATTCAGCATGTGCAGGGATGTGAGGGCGTGCATGTGGCATTCAGCATGTGCAGGGATGTGAGGGCGTGCATGTGGCATTCAGCATGTGCAGGGATGTGAGGGCGTGCATGTGGCATTCAGCATGTGCAGGGATGTGAGGGCGTGCATGTGGCATTCAGCATGTGCAGGGATGTGAGGGCGTGCATGTGGCATTCAGCATGTGCAGGGATGTGAGGGCGTGCATGTGGCATTCAGCATGTGCAGGGATGTGAGGGCGTGCATGTGGCATTCAGCATGTGCAGGGATGTGAGGGCGTGCATGTGGCATTCAGCATGTGCAGGGATGTGAGGGCGTGCATGTGGCATTCAGCATGTGCAGGGATGTGAGGGCGTGCATGTGGCATTCAGCATGTGCAGGGATGTGAGGGCGTGCATGTGGCATTCAGCATGTGCAGGGATGTGAGGGCGTGCATGTGGCATTCAGCATGTGCAGGGATGTGAGGGCGTGCATGTGGCATTCAGCATGTGCAGGGATGTGAGGGCGTGCATGTGGCATTCAGCATGTGCAGGGATGTGCAGTGAGAGGATGGCTGAGACAGGGATGCGAGGGGGAGCTGTGGCGTGTAGCATGTGCATGGATGTGCGGTGAGTGAAGGGCTGCTCACCAGATGCCTTCCGGTTGTGTCTGTGACCGTGGCCTGTGCACCATGCACCATGCACATGTACATGCACCATGCACCATGCACCATGCACATGCACCATGCACCATGCACATGCACCATGCAACATGCGCCATGCATGCAGCATGCACCATGCATCACTCCACAATAATGGAGAAGCACCAAGTAGATGCAAAGGTGACGAGGCAGGGACGAAGCACTGAGGGCAGCGGCATGTCACTGGGCTCAGAGGAGGACATAACATGCACAAATGTGTGTGGACACTACCAGAGTCATGACCACAAACATGCATCCTTCCATTGCATTCTCCCCAATTCATCCCTTCCTCATCCTCACCCCCGGTTCTCTTTTCCCCACTCCCACCCCCATGGCCTCCCCTCTCCCCACTCACGTCTTGCCAGCAAACGCGTCGCTGATGTCAGCAGAGGAGGGCAGCGAGAGCAGCGAGGCCATGAGGTCGTACCGCTCCTCATCTCCTCCCTTCCTCGATCTCATCCACATTATTTCGGTTCCCTCCCCCTTTCTTCCCTTTCTTCCCTTTCCCCCTCCCCCCCCCGCACCCCCCCCCCCCCAATCACCCCCCTCTCCCCACTCACGTCTTGCCAGCGAAGGCGTCGCTGATGTCAGCAGAGGTGGGCAGGGAGGGCAGAGTAGCCATGAGGTCGTAGCGCTCCACTCCGAACGACACGTCCACGCGCTTGTACACCTCATAGGGGTCCGGATAGCGCATCCTGGGGGGTGACAAAAGGGAGGTGGCAGAGAGGGCAGCGAGGGCAGGGAGGGCAGCGAGGCCAGGACATCATATCGTTCCACGCCAAACGACACGTCCACGCGCTTGTACACCTCAAAGGGCGACGGGTAGCGCATCCTGGGGGGTGGGAAGGGGAGGTGGCAGGCGTGCTTTAAACACCTGAGGGCGCCGACGATTAGGTACTGCATGCACGATGGGGTAGTGCATGTCGTCCCACAGGTGGGCCCCACACGTGTGTGAGGCCCACAAATGATCTCAATAGCACTCTTTACAGCTGCAATTCCCACCTGAGAGCACCGAGGATGGGGTACTGCGTGCCCGAGAGGTAGAGCAGGCGCATGAGGTAGCAGAGCTCGAATGTGTCTGTGAATGCCACCCTCTCCGCCCTCCCCGCCACCTGCATCACCCCCGCTGCACTAGGTAGGTCCTGATGGCGCCAGGGGGAAAGGTGTGCATGGGAGGGCACGCACGGGAGGGTGGGTGGGAGGGCGTGAGGGAGGATGTGGGGAAGGATGGCAGTGAGGCGCGTGGGGAAGGATGTGAGCAAGGATATGAGGAGAAAGATGCGTGACAGAATGACAGCAGGGCAGCAGGGCAGGAGGGGGCAAGGAGGGCAGCAGGGCAGCACGTCAGACGAGCAGCATGCCTTAAGGGCAGCAGGGGTGACCTTGAGGCGCGGGTTGAGGATGATGACGGGCCGTGGTGCTGCCGCCTCCACCATGGCTTGCAGATCCTGAGACATGGAAGGGCGTAGGGGATGGGCGGGCATGGTGGGACTCCAAAAGAATGATTCGTGCTCTCAATAGTGCTAGGGTCATGCCTATCATTGCTGATGTTGTGCCTATCATGTCACGCATATCAATGCTGACGTGACTCACATCAAGGATGCAGTTGCCAACAGCATTCTGAGGAGCCATGATGATCACCACGTCATCCTCCGGTGCCACCTCAGCAGCTCCTGATTGGTGCATGATGCGCACGACAAGGGGCATGTGGGCACAGCAACAAACAAGTGAGCACAGCAAGAGCAGAGCAACAAGAATATGGGCACACGGAGCATGAGAGAACAGGGGTCAGGAATGCACATGCAGGAATGCACACTCAGTGCTCCCATGCAGCCACCCACACTGATCGCGACCACCAAGCCACCATCTTTGAACCCACCCACGGAGCCGAGAACGATCTTGTCGTTGAGCTCCTCTCCCCAGTCCATGGCCTCCAGCAGCCTGCGCGTGCCCGCCAGCTGCAACGGCATGCCCGCGAATATGCCCGACCCCATGCTGCCCTGCACACACACCTGGGGGGGGTGAGCAGGGGGGAGGGGAAGGGAGAGGGGAGAGGCGCAGGGGAAGGCGAGGGGCCAGGCGGAGGGGCAGGAGGGGAATGTGAAGCATGTTCGTGAGTATGCACGATCCCATGCCGCCCTGCACACACACCTGGTGGGGGTGACACGGGGAGAGGGAAAGGGAGCGAGACAGGCAGGTGCAGAGGCAGGCAGAGGCGAATAGGCAGTGTACAGACGTTTTCCACACTGTTCTTTCCTCCTCACCATCATTCGCGCCTCCCCTTCCCTCTTTCCATCCCTCCACTTCCCCCCTTCACCCTCACTTCCCCCCTCACACTCACTCCCTCGTCAATCCACACCCCCTCCCTCCACCCCCTCCGCACCGCACCTTGACTCGCTTGCCCTTGCGTGCGAAGGTGAATGCCAGCTCCCGCATGAGCTCCAGCAGCGTGCCGATGCGGTACACGTCCTGATGCAGGGCGCATGGGAGAAGCATGGCGCACACGCAGGGTGGATGAGAGGGGAGATCGGGTAACAGTGAGCAGGGTGGGAGGGAGCAGAGTGGGTAATCATAGGCATGAGCTCCAGCAGCGTGCCGATGCGGTACACGTCCTGATGCATGGCAGGCAGGGTGGGCGGTGGGGAAGGGCATTGAATGGGACGAGAGGGGAGCAGAGCGAGGTGGGCAGAGAGGGAGGGAACAAACGGGGAGATTTATACTCACTGTGTTACATGTTCTGGTGTGTGGTATATACAGTGGGCGAGGCAGAGTGAAAGGCCGACTGGGTTACAGTGTGCAATGCAGTGCAGGGAGTGTGGAGCGGAAAAGTTGGAGAACAGAATGGCGAGGGGGAAGGAGGTTGGGGAGAGGCAGAGAAGGGGTGAGTGAGGAGGAAAGGATGGGGAGTTAGGGCCTGGGAAAAGCAAGTGAGGAACCGCAATCACGCTTCGTAATGTAACGGAATGGGTGAACAGTGACTGGCGAGGGGCACGCAGGCAGTGGAAGGGTTGAGAGAGAAGGGCTGACCATTTGGGGGTTGAGCTCTGGGATTAGACACTCCAGCTGCACAAAAACACACACACACACACACACGCACACACACACACACACACACACACACACACACACACGCACGCACACACATACACACCAAGAAATTCCACGTGTGAGCAAACAGGCCAGCCATGCCATGACATGCATGCCCTTCAGCCCACCTAAATTCGCTGCTTCCCAGCAGCCGCGGCGTTGACAGCAGCAGAGGAGGCATCATCATAGAAGTATTGGCAAATCTCCCAACTTCCTCTGAGGCACGTCAAATCCAAGTCCACGCACTGACCGCCATCCCACCCACCTTGATCCTCTGCTTGCCGGCGGCCACGGCGTTGACAGCAGCGCAGCAGGCATCGTCATAAAAGTACTGCCGGATCTCCCGGCTGTGAGGGATGTCGTTCAGCCGCGTTGGCATGCCCCTCCACGCGCCCTCTTCCGCTGCTGCTGGTGCCCCCGCCTGCTGCATGCACACGCGCACAAGTGCACGGGTGCACGGGGGGAGGGGACACACAAGGTTCAAGCAGAGGCGGGAGAGAAGCAAGGGAGGAGCGCAGGTGGGAGGAGTAACAAGGGACGGTTGCAACGGGGTGGGAGGAAAAGGTGGCTCCTAGTTGGCCGGAGGAGCGGCAGACAGAAGGTGAGAACGGTTTTGTGGACTGTGGGGAGAGGCACGAGGATGCTTCGTTGGTGACCCCACCTTGTCTGCCCTGGCCTTGTCGAGAGCGCTGCTGATGTCAGCGAACACCTCGTGCTTGCCTCGATGCCCGTTCACCTGCATTCGATGAGGAAAGGGCGACGAGGGTAGGGGGAGTGGGAAAGAGGAAGAGGGTAGAGGGAAGAGGGGAAGGGGCAAGGGGGTAGAGGGGAGATGACAGGGTGAAATGGATTTGGGAGACAGGGGTAGGGGAGGAAGAGAATATGGGCAGGATGAAGAGAATATGGGCAGGATGAAGAGAATATGGGCAGGATGAAGAGAATATGGGCAGGATGAAGAGAATATGGGCAGGATGAAGAGAATATGGGCAGGATGAAGAAAATATGGGCAGGATGAAGAGAATATGGGCAGGATGAAGAGAATATGGGCAGGATGAAGAGAATATGGGCAGGATGAAGAGAATATGGGCAGGATGAAGAGGATGTGGGAGGAAGGGGTGATCCAACCCAACACGTTCCATTTCACCCACTCATGACAACCCACCCTCCTCCATCCCTTTTCCCTCCCCCCAGCTGACACACAGGCGTACCTCCACCAGTTTCTCCCTGTATCCATTCACCACATGCGTCACGTGCTGCTTGTACACCTCCACTCGTGCTAGCGCCTGTGTGGTGAGAGGAAGGGGGTGGTAAAAAACAAGAGGTGCAAAGACGTTAGGCAACAAAGCGGGCGTGAGAGGCAGGAAGGCGTGTGAAGTTATTTGAAAAGGTGGAGAAAGGTGTGAGTGAGCGTTGAGTAGGTGCTGTGCAAGCAAGCAATGCTACCTTGTACCTTCTCCTCCGTGTCGTCAGACCGCTGGATGAGCCGCGCTCGAACCTCCTCGCTCTCGGGAGGGGAGAAGGTGAGGTGGTAGATGCGGTTGGTGTGCGGGTCCAGCCTGCGCCCCACCACCCTGTCCACTAGAATGCTGTCCGGCACCTGTGGAGACACACGGCAGTAGGGAGGCAATACCACCAAAGCAAAACACGTTCAGTTATATGAATGACGTCGATCACCATCCCACCACCCTGGGCGAGCAGCCCACGTGGGGCGAACACACTGGATTCACGCACGGCGCTCCTGCAGTGACGTCCAGAACCACCCCTTTCGTCCATGAGCCCCTGTGCCTTGTGAGTCGCCTCGGAATTCGGCCATACTCACGAATAAATTAGTAAGCACACAGCCCCAGCGCACCTGCAGCAGCAGGAAGACGTCGGGCACCACCCCCGCGTCCATGAGCGCCTGTGCCTGTGCGGGCGAGCGCGGGAAGCCGTCCAACAGCCACCCCTTGGTCCGCGCGTCCGGCTGGGATAGACGTGCCTGCACCATCTGTCAAGGAAGAGGGAGAGGGAGCGATGGGAGTGAGATGAGACTGAGAAATGAAAGTGAATTTCAAAGGCAGAGCGAGGAGAGTGCGAGATTTGAATGATAGTGGGAGAGACAGGGTGCTATGGAGTCGAAGATGGGGAGCTATGGGGCGCTATGAGAGTGGGGGACATACAGGACCGTCATCTACCCCAACCAATGCAACCTGGCCGACCACACAGCCCTTCCCTTGCAGCCAGCTTCACACCACCTCGTGAGAGCTTTCTGAGAATTCTCCTCAACAATCTCATCTCATCCCATCCCCACTCATGCTGATGATGAGGTCGTCCGGCACGAGCTGCCCCGCGTCCATGAACGCCTTGGCAGCACTCCTCCCGCTCGTCATGCCCCGAGCGACCTCGTGAGGGATTTCTGAGAAGTCTCAACAATCTCATCCCATCCCATCCCATCCCCACTCACGCTGATGACGAGGTCGTCAGGCACGAGCTGCCCCGCGTCCATGAACGCCTTGGCCTGCCTGCCGTTCTCCGTGTCGCGCGCCACCTCATCCCGCAGCAGGTCGCCCGTTGATATGTGCGCCAAACCGTACTGGTGGCCACGAGGGGTGGAAGGAGGGGTGAAAGGCGGTAAGGAGGCGGGAGTCAGGAGAAACGAGACAGGCATGTCATAGCACAGTCAACCCCCAGCAGGTCGCTCGTTGAGATGTGCGCCCAGCCGTACTGGCGGCCACGAGGGGTGAAAGAACGGATGGAAGGAGGGGTGGAAGGCGATAAGGAGGCGGGAACGAGGAGAAATGAGACAGGCGTGCTTCAGCGCAATCAACCCGCAGCAGGTCGACCGTTGAGATGTGCACCAAACCGTACTGATGGCGAGGGGGTCGGAGGCGATAAGGAGGCAGAAACGAGGAGAATGAGACAGGAGAGTTGCCAGAGAGTTAACCTGCAGCAGGTCGCCCGTTGAGATGTGCGCCAAACCGTACTGGTGGCCACGAGGGGGTGTGAGATGACAGAAAGGAGCACATTGCACCTCTAGAAACAAGCACCTTGTCTGACCCCAGTTCCTTATGGGGACATGCACCAGGCAGTAGTGGCGGTGAGGGCCCAAGGCAACAGCGCTGCAAGAAGCAAATGGGATGAAACAGCGGGGGTGACTGAACAACAGGCAGGCATGACGCTGTCAGCAGTTATGATTGTCCCCGCAGCTCTGGTCCTTCCACCCCATTTCGGTGAAATCTGTTCTGTCGCATACCTTCCAATGCACGAACCTTCTTAACAATCTCCTCGCATTGTGTGCCTTTTCCCGATGCCGGAGCCCCCGATATAATCACACGCAGCACGGTCGATTCCTCCACTACGGGTTCTGCTGTCTTTGTCGCGGATGACGCCGCAACCTGCGGGTTGGAAGATAACGGTGGGAAGGAGCCGAGGGGCAGGATGGAAAGAGGTGCATAGCGGAGCTGACTGCTACGGGAAGCAAGACGAGAGCACGCCGAACGACAATACACTTCCCGCATTTTACTTAGTCGCGTGCATGTGAACATATGTAGCGCAAATATGGCACCTTCAGCGACCGCCATTGTCGTCGCTGCGCGGTCGCCTTTCCTCTACGAACGCACGAACGGCTGGCGTTGGTCGTCGCAACTCGCGGAGCAAATGCCACGCTCACTGACGTGGCATCGCGCGCGCGTTCCTGCTTGAACGCTGCGCGCAGCGGAACGGCGGAGCTGGCTTGCAGCGAGAGAGCCATTGGCGAGCAACCAGGAACTCTCAGAAACAGCCTGATGTTAGTCCTGATTCCTGACTCGTCTACCAGCGGACAATCAGCGGCACTGGGAGTGCCGAGGTATGGTGACGATCAACTGTGTAGTGAATATGGGGTGAAACCAGATGCATGCATGTGCCTCATCCATTCAAAAATTGTACTCCTAACTGTGTGACTCGCTTTTCGCCATTATCTCGATCAAACCAATTCTACGAACAACGATGCGAACTGTCGCAGCTACACCGCATATTCCCATACATTGTTCGCAGAAGCTTTCGTGGGCTGTCGCAACGTCAATCGCCAACTGTACTCGCAGGCAAGTGTGCCTGCTGAATCTTCATGCTCACGCTGGCTGCGCAAATCCCAGGCTCCCTGGTGTAGCGGTCAAATTTGAGCATCATTTCATTTCAAATGTGGAGTGGAGATCAATGGAAACTCCTGAAATTTCTCTAGAAGCCTGAACCACACTCTGAAGCCTGGACTGGACATCCTCTGTTTACTCGTGCTTCTGGGTCTACCTTTGTCACCTTCCGCGACACACGTTGCTCGACCTCCGCATTCGCTTGTTTCCACTTCGCGTATCTATCTTAGTGATTGGGGTTTCTTCTCTCGGCGTTGGTTCCTATCGTGAAGCTAACAGTTCGAGTCGAAGCGAGCAGCAGGTGGTGCCATGGAGGTGGTTCGAGTGAGCTTCGCGGATCTCAAGGTCTGTCATTAGCCAGTGTCGTGACGTCTCAGTTACGTCAGCCTCGCATTTACCACGCGATCAGATGACGGCAGCGCTCCGTCGTCGGTGGCACTAGAATGTCCCTGACGCACGCATCGCAGTTGCATCGCGTCGCTGACTCCCGTGTATAGTTCGTTCAAAAAACATCAGCGAGAAAGCACTAGTAGTTGCGGGAGTTATCACCAGTAGTGACTCACCCCTCGTTTCTGCCCGTCCGTTGGATTACAATCAGGAAGGCAACGATCTCTCCTCTCAAATCGAAGCTGCTTTCGGGCCTGGAGGTCTGGGAATCATTGCTGTTTCCGATGTAAGAGAACATGCTGCGAGTAGAGATACGCTGCGAGCTACAGCCTTGAGTGCTGCGTTTCTTCGTTTTGTAAAAAGAAAGGAAAACAAGTCGGCTGAAGAGTAGCGTGGTCTGTTTTCAGGTTCCCGGCTATCCTGAGGCAAGGGAACGGCTTCTTCCGCTCGCATTAAGGTCTGTACGCTGATATTACCCAGCAGTGTCACATTGTTCCAACTCGTCCAAACCACACTTCAGCTGATGCCTGTGAGTGTCTGTGCATCACTGTGTTGGTGCGTGCATGACCATGGGCGTGTGCACGTGTCCAGGCTTGGGGAGCTCCCAGAAGAGGCCAAGAGACGCATTGAGGACCCAAACAGCAAGTAAGTGCCGTGGCTAATCCTTCTCTTCAAACTCTCGTGTTTCGTGCCTGTTCATGTCAACTCACAACAATGTCGCATGCGGCTGATTCGACTGCACGCGCACGGTGCACGGCAGGTACAGCTTTGGATGGAGCGAGGGTAAGGAGTCGGTGGAGGCAGGCAGAAGGGACGCGCTCAAGGCGTCCTTCTATGCCAACCCGCTCACCGACACGCCCACCACCGATCCTGAGCTTATACGCAGGTGAGGAGAAGCAAGCCTGTTGTGAGGGTGCCAAGAAGGCACCTGCCCTGGATTTCGTTCATAGCTTTATCCACTAGTGCAACCCCACCTCATTCTTACATGCATGTCCATGTGCGCGAATGTGCATCTGCACTTGCATGTGCACCTACGTGTGCATGTGGAAGTTTGTCTGCACATGCACCATGTACTCATGTACATGCACATGCGCATACCCTGCGCACAGGTTCCCCACCTACTGCCGCCCCAACGTGTGGCCCTCACAAGACCTTCCCGAGCTTGAACCAGGTGAGCTGGCCTCCAGCCACTCAGCTAGCTGCCTCCTGTGCATGTGATACTGACTCGTTATAGTCACATCATGACGCTGAATTGACTTCCACTCTTTCTTCTCCCTGCTCCGCTGTAATTGCCTCAGCCTTCAAGGCGCTGGGCCGGTTGATAGTGGACGTGGGCAAGCAGTTGCTGCAACATTGTGATGCCTACTGTGAGGGAGCCATGATCCAGGTGCCAGCCACACCACGACGACACGTCCGCATCTGCCACAGCCGTGAGACTCTCAGAAGCAGACACACCCCCATTGCCCCCATTGCCTGCACACGCCACTGCCTCCTCCCTTGATACCCTGCTGCTCTCAGCAGGCGATTCGCCCTCTCCCTCTTCCTCTCTCTCTCCCTGTGCTGCTGACGGTGCGGGTGGGGGCTGCTGCGGTGACATGTAGAGCAGCAGGCGGGCCTTGTGGCAGGGGGACTGCTCCACCACTCGTAGCAGCTTGCCTGAGGGCACGTGAGGGTTCCTGCTGTGCACTGGCATGGGGTGGTGGTGTGGTGGCGTGGAGAGGGATGACAGGCTGAAAGAACGGTTCCACTTGACAATGCTCCCTCATGTGGCCTTTACATTCGAACCAGGGACGGGCAGACTGTGCAGGTGTGTGTGTTGCACGAAGCAAGCACCATCCTTGTGTTGCACGAAGCAAGCACCATCCTTGTGTTGCACGAAGCAAGCACCATCCTTGTGTTGCACGAAGCAAGCACCATCCTTGTGTTGCACGAAGCAAGCACCATCCGGTGGTTCTGTTGCCATTCTCTTGTTGTCCATTCACCATCCTTGTCTTGATTCCATTTTGATTGCGGTGTCGATCATGCCTCATTACGTGTTCCATGCATCTTTGTGCATGCATGCATGTGCACCAGGCGCGTATACCAGAGGGGTGCATAGCGTTTCAAGTGGGTCACGCCATGTCCATCCAGTCGGGGGGGCTCCTAGCTGCCACGCCCCACTGCGTTGCGGTACCCTGCCTCTTCTCCCACAGATCCTCTCTTCACACTTGTATTCATTCCCGCCGTCCCTCATTCTGCTTCGTCCCGTTGCCTCCATCCCATCAGCTCTGTGCCGTTGCCATCCCATCCCATGTCACTCCAGTCCATGTTCGTCCTGCTAATGCCATATCCACCCCCACCTGTCTTATCATACTCAGCCGGCCCTTCCATGCCATTTCACCCACCCGTGCCATGCCATGCATGCACACAGGCACCCAAAGGGCCGGCATCATCAATAGGCGTTTCTAGCTCCACATTAGCAGTGTTCATGCAGGTACGTACTGTTCATGCAGGTTCGTACTGTTCATGCAGGTACGTACTGTTCATGCAGGTACGTACTGTTCATGCAGGTACGTACTGTTCGTGCAGGTTCGTACTGTTCATGCAGGTCCGTACTGTTCATGTGTGCCCGCACTTTCCATGCATGTGAAATGCCTAAGCTCATAGGGAGATGCTCTTAGCGATATGCATGTAGGTCATGCAAGCAATCACCATGTGCTTGCTCCGGACGTTGCTGCTCCTACCATCGCTCTCACCATCTCAAAGCTCCCACCACCTCCATCCCGTTGTGCTTCCACTCTGTTGCGCAACTATCCTTCTCATCCCTTCTCCCGTGTTGCATCTCCACTCCCATGCCACCATCCCTCCCATGCACCATCGCTGCGCCAACCAATCGCAATCGCCGTGCTACCCTCGCCCGTCCATCAGCCTTCATGGTACGTGTTGCTAACATGCACTGTGCTGCACATCGTGGGTTCTGTGTCCCCACCCAACCCTTCACATGCTTACGCCTCTGTGTCAACATGGCTCACACACTACCATCAGCGGAACCATGCCATATGTTTGTTTGGATATCTTCCACCTGCGTTCCCCCCATGCTCTCCCGGTCATTCCATCCCTCCCCGCTCCTGCTCGCCCGCACACTCTCCTCTCAATCCATGTCTCCTACTCTCGCTCACTCCCCGGTGTTCTCCCCACTTCTCCCCACCCAGGAACGAGCCTCTCGACATGCCGCCCTGCAGCTCTCTCACACCAGAGGTGGGGCCCACCACTAGTCTGCTTACACTCTCTCCTTTCTTGTTGGCTATCTGTGTCAGACAAGCTTCAACACTAGCGCCGCATCACACCGCCCCTCACACCTCTCACGCTCACACCTCTCACACTCACACCTCTCACTCTCACTCTTCTCACTCTCACACCTCTCACCCTTCACACCTCCCCGCTCTCTCCCATGCATACTGCTCCATTGCATTTCCTTCCCACTACAATCCCTGCAGGAGTTGGTGCCGTGGCAACCAGGCATGGACTTCGGAACCTTTTCAGAACGAACAATCAAGCAGTACTACTGAAGGGCTGACAGTGGGGCGGGGCTGCCCTGCCCTTGCTATGTGTTCAGATCAGAGATGTTCCAAATGTTGCACCTCAGGCAGTGCTGCTGGCAAACTAATGGTGCCACTGCCCTTGCCATGCTATGCTGTGTACCCAACCATACATGCAGAAAAGACTCAGCTTACAGATGGGCATCAGCTATTTGGCCTGGGACGTTGTTACCTGCAAAACAAAAGGTCACTTACAAAAATGAAGGCACGATAATACAATCAATATTACAATAATAACCTACATAACCTAGTAGCAACACATGAAATAAAGCATATCTTCCTGCAGGCCACTACTGCCCAAGAAAGCACCTACCCTACAACATAAATGAAACGAATATAGCACCTACACCCTACAGCCTGCTACATTTCTACAGTCTACACTCGTGGAGTAGAAGCGCCGCAACATGCGTCAGGAGCAACACGATC